AGACGATTTAGATGCGGTCATTTCTCTTTAGCCGCCCCCTTCAGCCACAAAAGGCCCCCATCAATTCTGAGCTGGGGATTTAGAGGGCAGGCTGGCGGGGATCATTTGGGAAATGAGACTGGATGAGAGCTAGCAGAGGTTTTTTGAGGAATTGAGGTAACTAGCAGGGATCCTTTAGAAACAGAGGTCTGGCACTTGCAGAGATCATTGACGAATCGAGATAGCTGGCAAAGATGAGCGAGGAATGTAGACTAAGGGAGAGCTAGCAAAGGCCATTCAGGATTCGGGAAAACTAGCAGAGATGATTGCGGAATTTGGCTAACTGGCGGGGATCCTTGGAGAATTTCGACTCGAGAACTAGCAGAGCTCATTTAGGAACGGTGGCAACTAGCAGGGATCCTTTAGGACAAGATAACTGGCCGAGGCCATCGAGGAATTTGCGTAACTACCATGGATCATTTGGAAAATCAGGCCAGGGGAGAGCCAGCAAAGGTTATTTAGGAATTGGGTTCGCTGGCAGAATCGATCCGATTTCTATTTCGAGTCAGGGATCACGAAAATAAGTAAATTTCCTGAAAGAAAAAAATAGTGCTACGCTTCCACATCACCGGGAAGTCAAAAAAATTAGTTTTAAGAGGAGACGACAGACCTCACATATCGATCTGCTGGCAGAGCCAAGGACATATACAGAGATGTTGGAATAATGATAGCATAACGAAAGACTAGATATAAAAAACGGACTTACGGTCACGTTCTCGAAAAGTAACAATCATGAATTCAATTCAATTGCAGAAGGGAAAGATTTTAAAAAAAGTATGTTGCAATTCAATGCTGCTAGAAAATCGAAAAAGCAGATGGCAATAAAACGGGCGGTTTCAATAGCAATGGGAAACCAAATAATTACCGTTGAGCTTTAAAGAGGCTCGGAAGTCCAAAGTTGCGCGTGCGGGAACTGGACCTACTGGTCAAAAAACGAGTGTGGGACTGCTGAGAAGTATCAGAAAAGTGGTTTCGTTCCGGAAAAAAAGTAAAATTTTTGAGTAAAACCGAAATGTTCATGGGGTGAAAACGACATTTTGAGTGGCCGATGATTACATTCCGTAATGCCTTGTAAGGCAGCCAATCTCTCGATCTCCGTGATTCCCTGGTCAATTTTCATATTTAAAGCGTCAAGAATGATCAAAATTTGATGAGAATTCCAGGAATAGCGTCAGAATTTTGAAATTCAAGCGTTGTCACGTCCAAACAGAGGCAAAAGATCATGCGGCGATCATCGCATATGGCTATTTGCCAGGAATCAACGCAGGGGGCCATCGACCAGATTTCGGAGCCCCTAGAAAGATCCCGAACGATCTAGATAGGTTTGGGATGGCCCTCCTCCCCCTCCTTCTCCCATCCATCCCATTCATCTATCGCCATCCCCTCCAGGGCGAACGGGCAAACACAATTTAGCCCCCCTCCACCCTAACTGAAAACTCATTTCTGCCCATTTTCGCGTCGTGTGGCGCGAACCCGAAGCGACACTTTCGCTGTTATTTGCCACCACCACCCGTCAAATTAGGGCCCTCCACACACAACGCATCCACCCACCCGGCTGGGCCGGCCACACATCTGGCCATCGCTGGTGGTGTTCGAGTGTTTTTTGGAGTGGGCGAAACTGGCGGTGATCACTTAGGCAGAAAAAACAGTCTAGCGGAAAAAGGCAAGCTAGCAGTAGTGATTTGAGAAAATTAAACTCGTGTTAGAAGCAAGCCAGCAAAGATCCTTTCGGAAAAGGCATATCTAGCGCCCCTCTGGATTGTGCTCGTTTTTTTAGAAAACCAGGTGAATCGTGCGGGAACTGGCGGTGATCATTTGGGAATCGGTACTGTGGAAAAAATCGTAATTTTGCGATTTGGCAAGCCAGCGGTGACCATTTAGGACCTGGAAGGCCTGCAGTGATGATTTAAGAAAATAGATTTCTGGTCAAAGGCATTAGCAAAAACGATTTTTGGTAACACTTACCTCATACTAAAGGCCAACTAGCAAGGATAGCAAAACCGAAATTCGGTTAGAGCGTAAACTAGCAGATGATTTGGGAAGGGCAGACTAGCAGAGGTTTTTGGGGGAAATGAGTTTCGAAAAACACCCGCCTTCCCAGGGCCAGTAAAAGACCCAATCTTGGCTCATCTGTGCCACTACCGTATTTTGGCGTAATTTGAGAGATAGTACGTAGATAAAAACATAGCCTTTTTGAAAATTCGAAATTCTGAAACTTTAAGCTTCTGATTCTCGATATTTTTCGAAAATTCTGGAAGACGAAAGCGAAAAGAATAAAACCGAACATGTCAAAAGGTGTCTGCCCGTTTTTTGGTGTCCTGCGTAGTTGTTGTCAGGGTTTCTGTCAGTCAGCAGCCGTCATCCACCCTTACCTACCTGAGGCGCCAATAAGTAGAGAAGCGGCCCGAAAAAAAAAAGGAAAAAGGGGGAACGGCTCGAATTTCGAAGGGATCGACGGGTTGACTGCACCCACGAACACGTCAAGAAATTGATGGACCGGGCTTTTAAAGGGGCTGGAAAGTAAGGGATGGGCAGCTAGCAGAGATCATTTAGGAACGGCAGCAAGACAATTGGTAGAGTAACAGATAAAATGTTTGCGAAAAGAGGCAAAAGAGAAGAAATATTAGTTCATTGCAGAAGCTGGCAGAGACGCTTTAAAAAATCTAAAATTTGTCGGGGAAGCTAGCAAAGATCGTTTAAAGTGCAGAATTCCCTGGGCAGGCTAGCAGAGATGATTTGAAAAAAATAGAATTGCCTGGCTCGGCTAGCAGATACGATTTGAACAAGATATAATTCGAAGGACAGTTAGTCTAAATTATGTAAAAAGGAAGGCTAGCAGAAATCTTTAGGAAAACCGGTTTGAGAGGTTCAATTCGATCGATACTGTTAAAACATGTGGCAGTCTTGCAGAGCCCATTTGTGAAACGTTAAAAATTTAATGCTTCAAATTATTGTTAACGCTATGCGCCTCCAGCAGAAAATACGTGACGAAAAGACATTGGAAAAAAAAGATCGCTGGGCAGACTAGTAGAGATTATTGAAAAAGGCTGATGTTGCCTTGTTAGACCTTGCTTGACTTGGCAATCGGAACGGCACAAATCAACTTTCACACTCAATAATAAACCGGTCCCATTAATTCAGTGGCATCCTAGCGGAGCAAATTTATGAAACATCATCAATTTAATGGGCAAAATTTTAACGTTCCCTATTTGAGGGGGCGGAAAAGGCTAGCAGAGACCATTTAAAAGGGCGGAGAGCAGTTGGCAGCCTGGCAATGCCATCTAAAAAACTAAAATTCGTTATGCAAGCTAGCAGAGATCGCTTGGGAAATCGGCGTCCGCAATTCAAGATTGAGCAAACTCCGAAGTGCCCGCTATTGCCAAAATCTATGGCATCCTGATAGAACCGATTTGTTAAACATCCACATTTACAGGAAAACAGAAGAAATCGCCAGGAGGGATGAACCTGGAAAAGTAGATATAGGCATTTAGGGAGGCTAGCAGAGACTTTAGACGAGCGAAAATCAGTTGGCGTGCTTGCAGAGATCATTTGAAAAGGTATAATTCAGGGGGTGTGTTAGCAGAGATCGGTTGTAAAATCGGAGCCCGATTAATCACCACCTCCTTTCCGCTCACATTGATAAAATCAGCGTCATGCTATCAGGACCTATTTGTGAAGCATTAAAATGCAAACTTTGAAATTTTAGTTTTCCCTAGGGTTATTGCGGTCCGGAGCGCGATTCAGCTGTTCCTTTTCAAATTCCAGGATCAGGAAAAACAAAAGCCAATGGCAGAAATTCTCCCCAAAAACAAGCGTTCCTCCCCCTCACCTCTCTCTCACCCATAAGAGGCTGAATCAAATTTTTGGCGTCAGGGGTTGACTGGGTTCGACTCGGGTTTTTGGCCGCCTCTTTCTGGGTCCCCCACTCAGAACGTGGCCACCGACAATGGGACTCCCGTTCTTTAAACGTTCGGGCGGCCATGTTTTGCAGGTTTTCCCGCTTTGAAAAATGGCCAAACTTCAGGTGCCATTTTGAAGGTGGGCGGCTGAAAGCCTTCTGAAAATCGCCGCAAGGGATTCGGGCTTGAAAAATGACGAATCTAGTGGCCATTCATTTTTCCTTACATTTAGACGCCTTCCAACTAGAAGAGGTCATTTGAGAAGCGCTTTGCTCTAGGATCAGCCTAGAGGTGATGAGGTACTGGGCTGATAGCGGGGGGTAGGAGTTGGGTAAGCTAACTTTCCTTAAAGTGCGAACAATAAAAGCAATGGTTGTAAGTGGCTTTTTACCCGTTTTAAAATAGAAAGTACATAAAAAGTTATCAAAGAATGTCGAAACTTTTTGTTTTTGCTCAAAAATGTATGAAAATGCCCCCGCTAACAGTAAAGTACCAAGAATTGACTTGGCAGAATAGCTATTTTCCCCAAAACTACCAAAAACGCATGTGGCAAGCTAGCGGAGGCCACTTGTGGAAACCGGAGCCCCAACCCACTCCCCGGTTGGGCCGAAATTGCGACAAACAACCAGAAACACAGACAGAAACGGATGGGTGGCGTGAAGGGGCCTTCTTAAATCAAATTAGGACCCACGAAATGCATCCGCGACACCCACTAGACACGGGATTCCCCGCGGTGTTACCCCCAAAAATCCGACAATTAGCCCCGCACTCGATTCTCATCCCAAAGTGGATTGTCGTTCAACAGATGCCCAACGTCAGTGATCAAAAAACAGCATAAAAACGGATGGACTGGCCCGAAAATCGTGATACCGAAAGATTCCAAACCCGAAAAGCGAACCGCCAAAAAATCAGTCTCGAAAAACCCAGAAGATTAGGTTATCTACGTAAACCCTTAGACCGTATTTTTCCGAAACCTCATTTTTGTGAAAAGCATTAACCTTACTCGCCCTAGTGAGCTTTATTGTTGGCAAAGTGAGATCGTCGTAATCACAGTACAGTTTAGATGTTGTCGGAGTCGGTCTGGCGGTAGTCCTTCTTCGGCACGAACGGTTCCCATCGGCTGGCCGGGTAGATGTGCTTGTTCTTCTCGTACCAACCGCGCAGGACTACCTGGAAAAGAGCTTGTTTTAAAGAATGAATCCAAACGACGAAAACTTGCTTACGAACCGTAAAAAATGCCTTTAGAAGACTTCGGAACGAATAAAAGGTTTTGAACGGAAAAAGTTCATTTTCTCGATTCCGATAATGTCAAATTGTCTCTATGCCGATTTTCATTACGCTAATTTCCGTCTCCAAGAATATCGGGTCGATCTCCGAGCCAGCTTACATTAAAAACCGGAAACTGAAAGTAAGCAAAAACTCAGCGTACTGTAAAACCAGAGATATGGATCGAATTCCTCCTCACCTTGGATGGATGGCTTTCCATGCCGACGTCTTGCCGAACCCGTATATCACCGCGCGCCTCAAATTGCCACAGCGGCCCCGTTTTGCCCATCGCCTTCGTCACGATAAAGTCTTGGAAACTAAAGAAACACATAAATCAGTAAAAATTATATCTTACGTATAGTGTTGCGGGATGATCAGCTCCTCCTTGACAAACATCATATTCTCTGACACGCACATCTTCAGCTCGGTAAACTCCTTCTTGAACACCTAAACCTAGTCGGGGTTGCCGTAAGCGCCAAAGGTAAAACATACCTCGATGGCTTTTGATAAAAATTGTCCAATCGTGTGCCCCTTCTTGACCCGAATATTGCGCTGATGACTGCTGCCGTCCCAGTACGCGCATGAGACCTAAGCAAAAAGCCTTTTTAGCATAAAATGCGTGCCTTACCACAATCTCCTCATTCTTCTCAATGTCCTGTTGGCGTTGCCATTCTCGGGCCAGCTCTTCCTTTTTCCTAAATCACCTATATGATTCGTATCAAAGTTTATAAGCTACCTTTCCACTTGCAGCTCTCGCTCACGATCCGGTAGAAAGCTTGTGTCGACGCTGGGATCCATGCCGAATCGCTGAACGAATATTTACAGCGATATGATCAAAATATCTACCTTCTTCGGAACAAAGACTTCTTCCTCTTCTTCATCGTCGTAGGAAAAAGACAGCACATGTTTCTAAACCAACGGTATTTCAAATAACGGTTTTATTCGTACCTTAATTCGCTCCGCTTCTTCTTGGCTACTGTCCCGTGTCTTTTCTTCTTTCTTTTTGCCACCTTCCCCAATCGATTTCACCACTTCCACTTCTCTAAAAAAACCATGATATTTCTATCATCGCAACTACCTGCCGACCACAGCGTCCTTTTGCTTCTCCTTCATTTCGCTCAATGTGACGAGGCCGACAGTCTTTGATCGAAGCTCCGTCTCGACAGCATCGTAATTTGCCGTAAATTTGTCGATGATCCCAGTGGAAACTAAAAACATCATGAAGTCAGTGTTGTAAAGTGTTTTTCCCGAAGACAAAAGAAAACCCGGCAAAGACTTGTGGCTTTTCTTTACAAAGAGCAATAGATTCTCGTTGACGTACGGGGAATTTTGGTTGGAAGCAGCGGCTAATTCTGCAGTAAGCTTCTGGTTTCCCAAATTGCTAACCCCCATTCTTAGAAAGTTCATCAAACTTTAACAAAACCAACAAAACCAACACGAACCTCTTGCCGTCTCTTCTTCAATCCTTCTCTTCTGTTTCTCTACATCTTCTTTCGCGCGCTCACGCTGCAGCGCCAAGTGAGCTAGTCGACCTCCATCTGCCATCTGAATTTGTATTTATCCTAACGAAAATTCTCTATCGAACAGAAAAAGCAACGAACGAAAACAAGCTGTGAAAATAATACATAGTAAGACAAGATAATAACCCGAAAATTTGCGATAGGTATGGGTGGTATCGATTCAGATTTCACAAAGATCGGACGAATTTGGCGAAACGATCTCGAATGGACGGGATAAGCTGAATGTGGCTATCGGCGCACTTCGCCACACAAACGTCGAGTTTCTCGTTGAATTCCGTCATCTGCGTCTGCGAGTATTTGCTGGTGTCAGGCCCGAACTTCTTTGTAAGCTCATCATAGCAGCCCATGGCACATCGCGAGAGCTGTTGCTGTAGGGTGCCCAACTCCATTTCGAGTTGTCCTTGTGCTTTTCGCATATTCCCGTTGCACTGTTCGACGCAATTTTCAACGACTTCGCGGGAAGAGCTGTTATTAGCGCAGCACTTCGCCGAGCATTCAAACATCTTTCGCTGCATCTCGCGCAGATGCGTTTTATCGATGGTGTCGATCATACCATCAACGGCGCGCTTGACCTTCTGCTGCGTCTCCTCCATCATGAATTCCTAGAAGCGCACGTCTAGTGTCACATCACAATATTAGCCCCAGCCCTGACCAAGTAGCGAGCCAAAATCGACGGAATTCTCTGTGTGCCATGGATAGGTTACGAGTACAACAAAATTTATTTCATCGGAAAAGATAACAAGGTTTTTAGAAGGCGGCTTGCGGGACACTTTGCGGCTGTGCTGGGGGGACAACTTCCTTCTTTTCGGTCTTGTGCTCGGAGTGGGGAGCAGCGGGGTTTTCCTCATCAGCGCAATCCTGGATCTTGACGTGGTCGGGAAGGGGATTCCTGGGTCCGAGCTGGCCGCGGGGATCGTGGGGAAGCATGATTTTGACCTTGATACCGAGCACACCTGAAAAAGAGTTGATAATGATGGCATTAAACATTACTGCAACATAAACCTCGAAATAACGACATAAAGACCATATCGCGTGTAGCAAAAGTCAAAATTACAAACCTTGACGAAGGTTGACGTGACGAACGGCCTCTTGGATGTAGTCGTTGACTGGGTTTCCGGAGTGGATCATGTTACCATCGACGAACTTCATGGCCTTAGCACGCTGACCACGGATCTTGCCAGAGACAACGACCTAAAAAAACAGATTACAGACATTAGCGAGAGGCAAAAGCAGTTCAATTCAGCACAAGGCAACCAGGGTTACCACGCAAAAAAATGTGACACTTACTTCGCATCCCTGTGCTCCAGATTCCATGATGAACCGCAAAACTCCGTAGCAAGCGCGACGAACAGCGAGGCCTCCGACAAGCTTGTAGCGGAGGGATTCGCACTGGGCGACGGCGCAGAGTCCTCGGTTGTTGACCTTCTCGGCGTAGAGCTATAAAGTAAAATTATAAACAAAGACGTTTTCAAATCACCTCGACCGATCCCTCATCGAAACCGAATCGCTTCTGGACGACAGAGGTCAGCTCGCGAATCCTGCGGCCGCGCTCTCCGAGAACGGACTGGGTGCGTGTGGCCATGATGATGACCTCAGCGCGGTTTGGGGTGCGTCGGATCTAAAAACATTCAAAAGTTGCAAAAAACCGGTGTACCTCAACGCCGGAATATCCGTCTTCGGCGAGCTCCTTCATCAGGAAAGAGTTAAGCTCAGCCCTGAAAACTCCATCGGCGACGGCCTTCTTTTTCCTCGACACGTGCTGTTCAGCCATGTTGCCCACGTTACTGAAAATAAGAATTTAGAGAGGGAAATGATCGATTGCGATGAAAGGCATGGAAAACGACTTTTGAAAGCATAATGGGGAAAGGTTAGGACGCGTTTTTGGGGCGTAATGCTTGTAGGAGAGCAACCGCGAATTTCCAAGAAAAATGGTATTAGAAAAACTGCAGAGCAACAAAATACATAGTCAAAAAGCGTCGCGAATTTCAAAAAAGCATAATTTACATCGATAAAGTACCGTAACGTCACTTATAGCACAAGCGAAAGAAATCGAAATTATGGAAAGGCCTACGAATGGGGGCCCCCTCGGCGCAACCCCTCACTACGTGCATTGTATTGCCGCGGTGGCTACGAAGCGGGATTCCAAAAAAAAGCAACACCGATGCTTTGCAAGATTATAAAATGTGAAAAAAAAACTAAAAAAAGTCGAAAATTTCTATAAGCTAAAAACGAGAATCTAAAGGAGGTTGGTAAAAGTGACAACAATTGAGAAGAGAACTCTGAGAGGTTAAAAGGCGTAGAAAGCTAGTAAAACCTAAAATAATGCTTAAAAAAAAACAAAATAAAAATTGATCGGATTGAAAAAAGTCGAAACGAAATATTCTTGAAAGCTTAGGAAACTCATAAAACATAAAATAATACTAACATAACCTAATCGGATTGAAAAAACCGGGCACACGTGAAACAAATTGTTTTGGCGTTTTGAAGTGTTAAAGTTAGAAAACTAAAAATTAAGCTCACTGATTGTCAAAACCAAAAATAATTGTATAAACGAACGGTTATCATTTGAATTCGATCGAATTTTTGACTTTTTGGTCAATTAGCATATTTGGCCGATCCCCGGAGCCTCCAGCCCCTCAAATCAAAGCATTCACCTAAACCCCTGCTATCAGACATGGTAAGCTAAAATTTTTTGCCCGGTTTGAACGAAATTACAGGCTTGCCTGCTGACGAATGAAGTGGACGACTGCACGACGGCGTCCACCTTCGAGATGGCCAACTTCCGGGAGCAGCTCAACGACGCCGAGCAGCAGCTGGACGTGTCGGCGATCCTCGCCAACATCGGCAACGTTTCCGCCCTCCACGGCGTCTCCATGGAGCGCCTCGTCTGCTCGACGTGAGGACACTGAACGGTTTCAAAACTGCGTTCTTTTAGCCCGTGCGTGACGGCTGATGTTGAGGAGGCGGTGAAGTCGTACTACGAGTACGAGAAGCAAATCGATCCCGCCACCCGCTTCGCGCCGACCGAAGTGCATTCCGAGTACTGTCTCCCCGACATGCAGCCGGCTGCGTTCACCGCCAACGTCGACAACGAGGAGGACACGCTCGTCGAGCCGGAAGAGGGCCTCGGCATCGATCACTTCGCAGAGGTGTGTTTGCTTAGAATACTAGGTTCTGTCACCTGGGCTAGTTTTTTTTGTTTTGTAGTAAAGACGCATCGAAAAATGTAGTAAATTCTAGTAATTTTCCTCGAAATGCTGCCCTTTTGTGTAAAAAAATATTTTTTGTGTTTTTTTAAGAAATTGTATCGTTTTAACATCTAGGGATACTAAAAGCCATTTTATAAACACTTCCTCTACCCCTGCGCCCCCGATAAGGCAAAAGCTCATAACAGCACTTTCGTTTTTTTTCTCGAACTTTCTGTTTCAAAGTCTATTTGACTGTTATTCACCCCCCCATTTTAGGCCCAGCGCTCGCGCGTCTTCGAGCTGTTGAGCGGCTACCAGCAGCAGACGAACAGCCCGTTCGACGAGAAGAACACGGGCCTGAACGCGCCGATGCTCACCGCCACCCTGGGCCGTTACAGCCACTTCTAAGCCCCGAACTCTTACTCCTCCCCGTTTCACTTATTCGTCGACTGTCCCACGATTATCCATGAACTATTGTCTTTTCTGTAACCCAAATATTCTCGCTGTGAATTCGCTTTGAGGGAATAAATTTTCGGAGATTACCGTGTTTGTGGAAGCAATACTTATCAATCGTAACCTGGACGCGTTGAGTTTGGACAAAAAAATCCAATTTTTGGTTCTTTTTTTAGGACCTCCAGAATTTCCAAACTGCAAACGCAAGCCTCGAGAACAAACGCCAAAAGATACAGAAGAATCGATACACACATGTTCAAAGGTAATACAATTTATTAACTTCCAAGTAAAAATTAATTGTTCAGTCGATAGCTTCGAGGAGCACGACTGTCCTGCCTTTCAGTCCTGCTTCACCGAACGACCGCAGCCACGGCCGCTTCTCCATTTCGGGGCTAAATGTTTGTTTGGGTATCATAAGCGCACATTTTAGGTCTACCTCATTTTGATCTGATTCTCCGGTGGCGGAAGACCCGGAGCATCACCCTGATGAGCAGCGGCAATGTTCTGCGACCAGAAGGGAATTGCGTGCAGCTCCTGGAATAGAACGGTATAACACAGACATTATTTTTCCTGCTACAGTTTATAGGTTTCTTGACACACGCACAATCCCTCCTACCTTTCGCGGATAGGAGGCGTGAAGTTTGAAAAAGAATGGGCAATCCGGGTGCAGGTGAGCGGCTTCGAAGAGTTTCTACAAAGCAATAGTTTCATAAAGTTATTTTTAGATCGTTAAACAATTTTTAGACCTCACTTCAATGCGATCCTCCGGAGTGAACGAGGTGATCAGTCGTTCACCGCCTGGGAACCGGATCTGAATTTGGTGCTTTTTAACTAGAACGATGTTTAGGTACCTGGATGACGACCGATTTGGCGGGGCTCTGCTGATAATCATCAGGGTTCAGCGTTGCGCGGAAGCAGGTGATGATCTAGAAAAGTCTGGCCAGGTAAGATGTTGACGTACGTAAAGCCGCTGTTGTGTGCGGAACTCGAACTCTTGCTGTTGTCGCTCTTTATCCAGGCGCTCCTTCCGCTTCGCCTTGTCGATCTGAAGAAAATCTAATATGAAAATTGGCTAAATTTAGGGGACGCTCAATGCTCCAAATATCATTTTCCAACTGAAATCCAGATATCAAGAGGTTAGGGCAGTTTCAGTTGAAAAAACGGTGCTTTACATTATCGGGGGGACCAACTTTTTTTTCTTAGGATCAAGGTTGTAAAATATAAAAGGTGGAAATGGTTCTAAACGGCTTTTTACTATTCCTAAACGTGAAAACTTTTGAAATTTTGATGTAAAATGTCAAAAAATAACGATTGTTCGACGAAAAACGGCCGATTTTTGACCGAATGTCGCCATTTTTGAAAGTTTTAGATATATTTTAGGTATCTGAACGCAAAATGACACTCACCTCCAGTGATTCGCGATACTCCCGGTCCTGCTCATTCCTTAGCGCCCGATCGGCAGCAATGTGACTGAATCGGCAAATACGACGAAGAAGAAGCGGAAACGCACTCCAAGCTTAAGCTTTTCCTTTTCATCGAGAAACGGCCAGTCAGTAAGTAAAAAAAAGTGAGAAATGAATGTAATTTTATGCCATGCCGATTAGCCAAAATTTCCCGGATATTTCGAGGAATTTGCAGCCGGAAGTATGTGAAAAGCTGCATGGGTTTCTGGTTTTTAGGGTGCAAAACGCGGCTCGATCATGGTCCATTTTTCGGGACTCGCCGCACGATCCACATCCATCCTCGGCCGCGCACCACTATTCGTCAGGGATGGCGGCCAACACGGCGAAGCTGATCAAGCCTCGCAGGGGCGGCAGCAAAGACAACAAGGGCAGGGTGTTAGCCACTGCACGGGTATCTCAACCATTTGATAACAAAACTTATCGAAGTAGACCGCCTCGACTACGAAAAGCGGCGACAAAAGTGCTGATCGGAAGATTGCAAGCCATGGATCACAGCACAGGGCCTCACAAGCCGGAGATGACCAGCTGCGCGACTTGTTCAAGGTGAGGCTTGCGGGACTGGTCTGTTAGTGGGGGAGAGCGGCTTTATGGCTTTTCATAAGTTTTTTTTCACCAAGAATAAAAGTGTTAGTTTCAGACTTTTCTATGCTTCAAAATTACCTTTAAAAATCGATAATATGGATTTTAGTGGTAGGGTATGCTAGCGACGTCATAAATAGGCTAAAGTCAGCCCCCCCCCCTCCGCTAAAACACCAGAACCGGACTTTCCCAAAATTTCTTAATATTGTTAATTTGATGAAATTGAGTTACTAATTTTCTCTGTTCAGAAAGTGCGCGAGATGTTGGCGCGATCGATGAATTACTACCACGGCATCATGCCTCGTGCCGAATGCGAGAGTTTGCTGGCCAACGACGGCGACTATCTGCTCCGCTTCACCACACGCGACGACAATCAGAAGGGCGGTGGCGGCCGGGACCAGTTCGTCATCTCGGTGATGCACAACGATTCTGTGCGCCATATTCCGATCAGTCGACGGGTTAGCGTCTTTCACAGGGCTTCGCTTTTTCGTTTACCGTGGTGCGTAGTTTCATGAAGTTCCGGCAATTTTCTTTACCCTTTAGAAAAATCCCACCTTTTAGGACGGGCGGGTTTTTAGCCCTCAAACACACTGATTCGCGGGGGCGCGCAATAGAAGTGACAACCTTTTAGGTCGCGTAATGCAACTGGTTACTCAATGTTTGTTGAAAGAAAAGCTATTAGAAGTCTAAGAAACTATATTGCTTTGATAGCAAGTTTTATTTAACGAAAAGATTAGTATAATAACGTGCACAACGGCAGATGCTCAGGTTGGCGCTTTACAACGGAGCGGTAAATCTTTCCTTGCTTCTAAGTATAAAACCAAATATTTTGGAAGGAGCAAGATGCAGATGCAGGGAGACACCATCAAATATATTTCGTCGAGTCTTCTAACTTCTAGTCTCGACGGGTGCAATCAACGGAAACAATTTTGGGCAAAAATCAGGACTATATATGCTTCGTGCAAAATTTCACCGATATCTTTCCGGGCTCGACGATTACTCTGAAGAAAGTATTTCATATTTGTAAAAGCATGCTCTGTGGAAACTGGAACCAAGACAAACTTGCTGTTCAGAATTGTCAGCCGCTGTCGGACAGGGTAATAAGAGCAGCGCTAAAACCATGCCTACAGGAAGTTCGCCTTAGAAAGAAAGAAGCCGTTTAAATTTTGGATAATTTTGGCCTATTTGTTGAAAACCTCCTAGTTTCTCAGCAAAACCTTGTTCGCTTCATAATTGCGCTTCTTAAGCATATGTGAACATAGGAAGCCCTGCTTTTCATGGTGTATCGCTTGGAAATGTGGCCTGAAAGCTTCTTGAGCGGATACCCTAAAGTCATAAGTAGTAAGTAATCATAAGTAATAACTGGTTTTATAATTCCTCCGTCAATCCTGATGCCCCCTTGTGTGATGCATCTTGCTCCTTCCAAAATATTTGGTTTTATACTTAGAAGCAAGGAAAGATTTACCGCTCCGTTGTAAAGCGCCAACCTGAGCATCTGCCGTTGTGCACGTTATTATACTAATCTTTTCGTTAAAATAAACTTGCTATCAAAGCAATATAGTTTCTTAGACTTATGCTAGCTTTTCTTTCAACAAAACATTGAGTAACCAGTTGCATTACGTGACCTAAAAGGTTGTCACTTCTATTGCGCGCCCCCGCGAATCAGTGTGTTTGAGGGCTAAAAACCCGCCCGTCCTTTTAGGGCACAATGTGGTACATCAACGATGTGGAGCAGAAGACGATCAGCGAATTGATCGAGTACCTGGAAGACAACAAGCACCCATTGCCCACCGGCGCCGTGCTGATGAAGGTATCACGAAAATTTAGCGTTTAGTATTTTTGGACTAACATTTAATATATTCGATCAACGCGAACATTTTGGTATACTTTATGACCATGCAGAGTCAAGAAACAAATTTTTGGATGTAGAAATGTTTAGAAAAAGCTAAATAGCCCCCTGTTCTAGAAGATCAGACGCCCCAGCTACTACATCATGCACGGCAACGTCACAAAAACGCAAAAGATCGGCGAGGGCAACTTTGGCGAGGTGTACAAGGGGACGCTGCGCGATGACGGAAACACAGAGACGCCGTGCGCCATCAAACTCTGCAAGGGTGACGTGACGAAGAAGGAGATTACGGAATTTATGAAGGTACGGTAGTAGGTTATACAATACAAAAAGCTGGCATTTTCCTGGAACCATTTTTTTTTCACGAAAGAAAAGCCATATTTGCTAAAAATCCATGACTCTAAAAGGGGTTTACCGAGTCTTTTTTACTATTCCTTAAAAAAATAGCGATTTTTACAAAAAAAAATACAAATCTATCAATTTTTCGAGCACAAATGGCCTATTTTTGACCAAACGTGCGACATCTTTAAAAATTTTTAGGTAGTTTTTCTCGTTGAAATTAGTGATATTACACTAAAAACAGAATTCAAACACTTCCTAATAGGTTACTAGACATTTCTAGTCATACAAAAAAGTTCGGTTTGCCCCCGATAAATCCCCCCCCCCCCGATAATGCACAAGAACCCAGAATATTTATAGGAGGCTCGCGTGACTAGGATCCTGAACCACAAGAACATTGTCCGTTTCTACGGCGTCGCCGCCCAGGAGAGCCCGGTGATGCTGGTGATCGAGCTGGCCGACAAAGGCGGTTTACAGGTAGACACTAACCTACAATGCTTACGGATTTCTCTTTGTAGTCCTACTGCCAGAAACACCCGGACGTGACGGGAGAGCAGCTCGTCTCCTGGGGCACCGACGGCGCCAGGGGAATGGCATACCTTCACAAAATGAGCGTAAGTGCAAAAAAATCCTAGTGACTAAACTAATTAATTGTTTTTGATATAATTTCTCGCTTTCGCGCAGAAAAAAGCTGCAAAATTCGAAAATAAATTCCTTTTGGGTCGAAATAAAGAGATTTTCGTTTAAAAATATAAATTCTTGACGAAATTTTTTGAATTTTATGCTCAGGAATAGTAAAAAAATTTCCAGGTACTGCCGGACGACCCTATAATAACGCATTATAATCATGATACAGTTATAAAAATTAGAATTTTGAAATATTTTGATCTTGCTAGCAGTCAAAAAATTAAATAAAAAAACTACAAAAATACCTTATATATTATCAACGGGCAGGTCTAGGCGTGGAAACGAAAATAAACATCAAATACCCAAAATAAATTAATCAGAACCATCTTCAGGTTCTCCACCGTGATTTGGCGGCCCGAAACTGTCTGCTTGGCAAGGATCTCGAGCTGAAGATCTCCGACTTTGGCAAGTCCGAGGTGGGCTGGCGCGAGATCAAGTGCGAGAAGCTGAAGAAGATGCCGATTAAATGGTGCGCGCCGGAAACGCTGTCCGAGGTACGGAAATTTCCATGGATTTTGAAAAGCGCAAAAAAGAACGAGAAAAGCAACAATTTCCAGGGAAAATTCACGACGAAAAGCGACGTCTGGAGCTACGGGGTGATGCTGTGGGAGATTTTTGGACGATGCACCGCCGAGCCGTTCACGGGAATTACGAACATGCAGGCTAAAGATAAAGTAAGAGCAGAGCCAACTTTTTTCCTGGATACAATTGTTCTAATCTAAAAAGGCAAACCGTTTGAAACGGATTTTTCTTATTTTAAACCAAAAAAAAAATCGATTTCTCGGCGAAAAATGTCAAAATCTGCTTCTGAAATGTGTATGGAAACGATAGGATACTGCGTCCTGAATTTACGAAATATTCTTACCTTCTACAGATCGTGAATGGTGACATGGCACTTCTGGCATTCCCTCCCAAAACCCCGGAAGTCGGTATCACGGTGATGAAGGCCTGCTGGACCCGTGTAAGCCATATGCCCTCCCAGCCAACCCCCCTCAATTTCAGAGCAACATCGAACGGCCCGAGTTTCTCGACCTGCTCAAGATATTCGCCCCCAACGAGGACTTTGAAAAAGAAAACGCCGACAAGGACAGCAAGGAAAGGGACAAATAGAGACGCGGGCCCCCGGATGTGTCCTGTTAATAATGATGATGATTATTTATTCACGCTGTTTACTCGATTCCGTTAAATGCTGTGATACGTTTATAGTCGACTTTAGAAAGAATAAAGATGACCCTGGGTGAGAATGGTGAAAACCCAAGAAAAAACACGAGAATTTGATTTGCTTGCTCAATTTTATGCGCTGGCTTTGGCGATTATTGTCATCAGGATCGGAATGGGCACTCTGGGTAATGCGAAGCGGCAATACCGCCCCCGGGAAAACTAGCGTCTCGGATACCTTCCGTACTAAAAATGTCATTTTATTCATCTGGAATCGATGTATCTGGACGAGTTAGTCGTTGTTCAGCTGGAACAAACTATTGCCAAAGCTTTCGGGAAGAAGATATAACCCTGTGAAAATGATAGGCAAAAAAATTGACGATTCGCCGTCGAGACACATCGTTCCATTGGAAAAAATGACATTTCAGTACATCGGGCAAACCGAAATTTACCCGCGTTCTCTCCATCGCAAAGTTTCGTCGGTATTTTGGATCAATTTTTTGCACTTTGCTGCGAGAATTTGAACCCTGCGCACAAATTTTTCGGTCGGCCGCCCCTCGAAGCCGCGCTTACGCCACCAAATTGCGGGCTCGGTTTCACGCGAAATGCTCGGGCAAAAAGCTTTATCAGCCTGTTTGCAAAAAATGCTTTGCTTTAAAAGGTCGCTTTAAAAACTTGGAATAGTGATTCGAATGCTATAACAAGTTCGAAAAACGGAGTTTAGTAAGCCGGTTAGATCATGTTGTCCATCATACGCAACAAGAATCCAGCGTTGACATTTTCGCTCCATATATTCGCCAAATCAACGTTTGTTTTAAAAAGTGCTTTAAGCTATCGTGAAAAGACAAAAGTTTTTACACAAAAAAAAGTAAAAAAGTGTCTTTCCGCGAGTGTACGTTAAACACTTTATGAACGCAACAATACAATTGACGGATCGTGCTGCTACGGTATTTGCCACCTTCGGATTCGACTGATAGTTTTCTTATTTTCGGCACTCGCGTTTTTTTTTCTGCGTTTTGCCGGCGGATGTGGTTACGTGAGCACTTTACCTTCTTTTCCGCGCAATTTGGTACAAAAACTTTTTTCGAATTTGCTCCTCTTCTAAACTGATATTCGTGGTATTGAAGCGTTTGGGCAACTTGCCTTTATTCACGTAGCTTTTCTGTGCCATTGTTAGTTTCTAACGTGTTTTGGACGTTTGCCTATCCTTCGGCAGCTTCCATTTCCCTGACTCTAACCCCTCCTGACTTCGTTAGTACTCTAATACGCCCTATTATCCCCGTCCCTCGTCTTTCACCCATTTTTTTTCACTTTACGTTGCAAAATTTTTTATTTATCATTTTTCGCCTACGTTATATTACCCGGTTGAATAAACCATTCATATAATCTCATGCTGCGCCAAATTTGGTTCTTCTGGTCCCCCAAAAATGTCTCGTTTCAGGTATCACTGCTGCAATGCTGAAGTCATCGAAGAAGAAGGAGGGCAAGGAGAAGCCGGAACAAGGCACCTCGGTATTTTCTGGTTATCTTTTGATTGGGATAATATTTTTAGGCTGAGGGCGACAAAGGCAAGAAAGGCGATGACGGCAAAGACGGCAGCAAGCGTCCGGTCATCCCATCGATTCGAACCGAAGACTGCTCTAGCTCTTCGGTAGTTTCTTGGAGAATTTTTATGCCTTGGTTTAGGGCGCTGATGCTGGCCCGCCGGTAACTGCTCTGAAGCGCACTTCTTATGGGGGAGGGCCCACGCTGCCGCGTCGGGATCGGCGGCAATCGAGCAGCTTGTTCGCCATCTCGCAGAATCGGGAGATCCAGTCGTTGCCGGACATCAACAGTACGTGTTCAGGATTATTCAGATCATCTTCGCTTTTAGCGGCTGCCCCCGCTGATGCCGAGCCTCTCTTCATCCAAAAGCTGCGCCAATGTTCCGTGGTTTTCGACTTCACCGACCCCTTGTCGGATATCAAATTCAAGGAGGTGCACTCAACATTTAGTCATGAAACTTTTGTAGGTGAAACGTGGCGCTCTGAACGAATTGATCGGCTACATCACGACGAAGCGCCAAGTTATCACTGAAAGTATCTACCCAGAAGCCGTCAACATGGTATAGATTTCGATACTATCTGGAATAACTATTTTCCAGTTCTTCGTCAACATCTTTCGCTCCCTGCCGCCGCCGACCAACCCGAGCGGCGCCGAATACGATCCGGATGAGGATGAGCCGAATCTGGAGGCGGCCTGGCCGCATCTCCAGCTCGTTTACGAGTTCTTCCTTCGGTTCCTCGAATCGCCCGACTTTGTTCCGGCGTTCGGAAAGAAGTACATCGACCAGAAGTTTCTCGTCAAGGTATATCCCACTTTCCTTCTTCCAAATTAGGAATTTAGCTCCTTGCGATCATGGATTCCGAAGACCCTCGCGAACGCGACTTCTTGAAGACTACTTTGCACCGAATTTACGGCAAATTCTTGAACCACCGTGCTTTCATCCGCAAGACTGTAATTTTCTTCTTATTTCCAAGTACGATTTTTAGATCAACAACATATTTTACTCGTTCATCTATGAGACGGAGCGGCACAACGGAATCGCCGAGTTGCTCGAGATCTTGGGGTATTTTCGTTGTATCCTTTGTAGGGTATTTTTTGATTTATTTTAGTTCTATCATCAACGGTTTCGCGGTCCCATTGAAGGAAGAGCACAAGCTTTTCCTGCTTCGCGTCCTGCTTCCATTGCACAAGGTATGACTACCGAGGGTTGTTAAATTGCCTTTTAGACAAAGGCCATGAACGTCTACCACCCGCAGCTTGCCTACTGCGTTGTTCAATTCCTCGAAAAGGATCCTGCGCTGACCGAGCCCGTCGTCCATGGTTTGCTTCGGTTCTGGCCCAAGGTCCGCAGTCCGAAAGAGGTGATTTCTTGCCGCCTCAAACGAACTATTCTTTAGATTCTCTTTTTGACTGAAGTCGAAGAGATTCTCGAGATCATCGACCCGGACCAGTTCAAGAAGGTGATGCGTCCGCTTTTCACCCGGTTGGCCAAGTGTGTCTCCAGCCCGCACTTCCAGGTTTTTCGAATGTCCTGGTTTTTATCTTATTCGTTAGGTCGCTGAGAGGGCGCTCTATTACTTCAACAACGATTACCTGATGAGCCTGATTGCCGAAAACGCGGAGGTGATCATTCCGATTATGTACCCGCCACTTTACAAGCACTCCAACACTCACTGGAACAAGTATGTTTTGAATTTTGGCTTCATTCAAGTCTCAGGACGATCCACGGGCTTATCTACAATGCGCTGAAATCTTTGATGGAGGGCAACCAACGTCTTTTCGACGAGTGCACGAAGAACTACGCCAAGCTTCGAGCCCAAGAGCGAGAAGCTCGTGTCAGGACCGACGAAAAATGGCAGCTCATCGAGAAGGCGGCTCGTGGGAACCCTGTGGTAAGGCTATTTAAGTACCGTTTTAAAATTTGTTTTAGTGGCAAGAGGTCACGGACACCTTCCCCGACGAGCTTCGCGCCCAGTTCGAGCAGCTCGCCTTGGACGAGGAGCCGGAGCAGCGGTCACAGCCCGTTGACCCCAGTGTCGACTTGTCGCAGGAGACGTCGGCCGAGAAGGACAGCAGTTTTTATCAGGTATCGTGGATATTTAGTTTCGTCATGCTTTTTGTTCCAGAAAAAGAGCGAGGTCCCGCCGGATGTTTTGACGGAGCGAGCCCTCGACGAGCATCAGCGCCACGATCCGTACCTCCGGCCGGTTGACAATGAAGAGTAGACGGATGCACCAATGCTCCTTAATGTTTTGCTCTGTGATCTCATTCGTTCCATTGTAGATATTCATTAATCCGTTCTATCTTCAGGCTTGCATTTCCGGTTCCCTGTGAAAGTGTCTCTTTCAGTGCTCATCATAGTTAATTGTGTTTAGTTGCCGGCTTCGGCACTTTCAGCCAGGACAAGGGTCGCAACTTTGGTGCCTTCTATACTGGAATGACCCATAACTCGGCCTGCTCTTCGCTTTGGTGATACATGTGATTTGTCCGCTGATGCTCCCCTTCACTGTGTCTTTTCCTTGCGAATCTGATAAAAAAGTTTTTTTTACACTATTTCCCGACGGTATTTGCTCAGTACTTTGACTAACAAGTCTATTTACTAATCAACCAGCTCTGAATTTTCCTTTTTTGACCACGACCACTGGTGGCTGAGGGCGGCCAAAAATTTTTATTTTACGAAGCTACAATTTCTACGTGCCCTCTGTTTTGTTCTCCCTCTGGAGGCGCAAAATTCATGGTCTGATTGGGCCTAAGCGCGCCGCCGGCAACGGTCAACACAAGCCCGCCAAGCACCGTGATTCAAATGCTCTGGTCTTTTGCTCTCTTTAATCTCTTTGCACATGCTCAACGTTTAGAGTCGCGAATTTCGAGATGATCACCAAGGTGCTCTTCCGCGAGAAGCGGCACGACCCCGAGGATTGTGTCCTGCTGGTATGACTCTACTTCGCCCTCTCCAACCCCTTTTTTCAGCTCGACAAGTATCGTGTGCGCCTGCTCGAAACGAAGACGGTAGTTTATTCGGTTTTTTTCAACAAACTGTTTGTGTAGGTCCCAATCTACGAGGACTCACCCGCCTACGTTGCAGCCAACCCAGCGATTCTGGTCGTCGACTTTCCAAGGGCCAAACTGGATGACGTGAGTTTATTTTGTTTCGCTCGATTGCGCATTTGTAGAGCTGTTCTTCTGCTCGCAGAACCAGTCAAGACTCTGATAGCTCGGATGACGACGAAAATGGCCCGCTTCACTTCTCGTTCCTGACCCTCGACAAGCTCGAGAAACAATGCGAGGTATTCTATTATTATCTGCTATTCAAATTCCCTTAGGGACAGACTAGCAAGTTGGCGGCGCTGCTTGCGCGCAACTACTCGCCGTGTGTGCGGTCATTTGATGCCGTACCGGTCCCTACGCAGCAGGCCGCGACTTTGCGACAATTGTTGGTATTGACAGGCTTACACGGGGTTTTTAACCTTACTTGGGGCGCGCACGAGAGGGAGGCAGGGAATGGGCGAGGCCACGTCCCCTTTTCGCCCCCAAAATGTATTAGAAAATCCCTTCTAATGGCTATAACTTTTTTTCTAGAAAAAATGACAAATTCTCCGCCTGGTAATTTGTAGAGAAGACCCTCGGGAACATTTTGGTAAAAGAATCTCAGCGATCGCGAGGAAAAACAAGGATTTGAAAAGCTTTGAAGCGATTATCAAGACGATGTTCTCGTTAGGGCCGCAGGTCGCCCCAGTTTCCTAATTTTCTGCCTGAGATTCGCCACAGATTTGTTGTCGGCGCTTATTTCGCTACTTTGCAAAAAAAAGCAAAACCATGTCATGATTTTAAGCGAGGAGAGGAATCGAACCCTGACCCTCCGCCTGACGCCGCCTTGGCCACGCCCCCCGCACCCCCGTGCGCGGAAAAAAACCCCGTGCTTAGCGTGGCGAACTGTTAGTAGAAGATGTAACTTCAGCCTATCTCTTGGAGGGTCTCATTTTTTATCGGCCTAAGGATTTCTTAAAATTCAATAACTTTAGCAAGCTTTTTTTGGATATTTGACTAGCTTTGGGGTAGATACCTACGAAAATCGCCATAGATTTGAGAGATTATCGTTTTATAGGTTGATCAACAAAGCCGCCGACTTTTTTGAGCAATCCCTCAGCCGTCTGCCTATTGTCATAGTGGTTGACGGCCGGGATATGCTCGCCGCCACCTATTTCGGAGTGCAGCGCCTTCCTGGTGATCGGATCTCCACATCGAACACGCGCTTTTTGGGTAAATTTGGTAATTCGGAATTTGAAATTTTATTGGCAGGACCCGCATCAAAAGATGTCGAGGCTTTACTCGATGATACGAAGGCCAGATACAAGGGGCGACGCACAAAGGCTAAACATGTCGTGACTTACGAGGTGAGTTTGTTTATGAAAATTGGCTTGGCAATCAGGAATCAAAAAAGTGAGAAGAGGGTTCCTTGGCCTGCATGTAGTTTTTTTCAGTTGCTACCAGAATGGCATCGCAAGCGGGTCGTTCGTACTGCCGCCATTTCGATCACGTTTTCTTGGGATGGAGATGAGGTAATTTTATTTATCTTTTTATTTTATCTTCTTTTTTATTGATCTGACTAACACTGTTCTGATTTCAGGTTCGCTGCCTTGGGAAGGTGCCCGCTGATGCCATGGGCACAATGTCGATTACCCCAGGCTGGAAAGACAATCGTGTCTGCCTTTTCGGGATCAGCAATGAATTGGAGCAGCTGCTGGTCTTTTTCTGCGGGTTTTACTGATTTACTGATACTTTAGAACATATGCGATACCCTGCGGGCGAACGACATCACACAAATGAAATGGCCGAAAGAAGACGCATCAAATGATGAGATGGTGATCGCCGCAGACGTTCAGAAGGTCTGTCTGGCTTTTTTTTTACAATATCTTGTGTTCCAGGTCGTTGAAGACTGTCGCGAGTTTGCTAGGCGCAATGGCTCTGACCAGGGACATATGCGTTTCCTCGACATGACCGAGCAGCTCTGGGGCGTCTACCGGCGCTGCGAATCGTCCCAACAGCTAGCCCGGGCCATTCGACTTCTCTTCGACTCGTTGGCCGCCGGCATGGCAAATACCATTGTAAGCTTTACATAATAGGATTTTCCAAAAAAAAAAAACATCCCGCTCCATCTAGCGGCCCGCAGAATTGTCTAACTGTTACAGACTCTAGCATGTAAAATACCGAAAATAGTAAGTAAAGTATGGAGGTCCGTAAAGCAGAGGACACGAATCTCCTCGTAGTGTCAAAAGTTTTATTTATATTCAATCTTCAAAATCGGGCAACTGCGAACCGCAAGATGGGGCGGAGGTTTTCTGGGGTCACGTCTGCATCTTAATCTTTTTCAATAGGTCCATCAAGAAAACAAAACGACTCTGGCGCGCCTGATCCGGGATGCGTGCCGTAACGAGCTGATGCTGCCGCGCCTCGAGGGGTTGATCCCGATCCAAATTTTGGCGGAAATCGGTGCTGAAAAGCTGTCACGGTACTTGTCCTTTTTATTTGACCGTGTTTTTCAGGGAAATTCAGGAAATTTGCAAGCGCAACGACCTGGTCCGGGAAGAGGAGACTATTATCCAACACCTCACCGCCGGCTTCAAGGTAACGGGTTGCAGTTCGGTGCGAATATCTATTCTTTAGCAAACGGCTCCTATTGAAGAACGCGCACCAGGCCTCAAGAACCTTCTTCTCGCCGTGCAGACAATGCAGCTGGTAGGATACCTTTAGCATCCAATTATCTTGGTTTTTAGATGAAGCAATACATGAACCCCAGCGGCCAATTCAAGATGTATGAGCACGGGCAGCGAGTCCTCGAATTCTTCGCCAAGACCCCGACCGACCAGCTCGATGCCGCCACGTTCTCTTCGCAGCACTGCTTCGTCGACTTTGCGTCGAACGTCTTTGAAGTGTATGTTTCATTCTGACAGATTTGTAAAATGGTGATGGCATGGATGAAGGTCGTTCCGTGATTTAATTTTTTCTATAGCAGGATAGAACGACTGTCTTTATCCCTTACATCTAAGGTTACTTTTAAAGTATCATTTAAACTTGTCTGGGCAAGAAGCAGTATCAGCGTGACCGACAAAAGGGGTGAAATGGAGTTACGAGAGTTTTATGATATTCACAATTTAGGTACATGCCGTCGACATGGTCCGCAGAACATTGGTATTGGTGTGGCGGTGACCGAGAGGTAGACAGTCTTCGGCCTATTCTTACACTTTTTATTAGATCCATACAATCACCCACTATACTCGCCATTCGCGTCTGGAACACCTGCAGATGCTATGCTTCAACGAGAAGCTTGACGAGCAGGAGGACCAGCCCATGGAAGAAGGTCTGTTTCTTTCTCCTTCTGACTGATTCTTTCAAGATTTGGATTTTTGGTCGAAAGCTTATATTTTGTATTTGTCAACGAAATTTTTGGGTTTAAGTAGGGTGAAAGTACTGTCCTATTTGTAGGATAGACGATTTGAACCAATAGCTTTCATCAAACCCCGTGGATATACTTTAGAACTCCATTTTCTTATCAATGGCAAGATTTTAGAAGTCAAACAAGAGGTCCTCTCCCCGGTCAAGAAACGCCTCCGCGCGGAAAGTTCGTCGGCGAAGAGACAGGACGCGTCTGATGCCAAATACTCTTGCACCCTGACCACGATCTCGACCACCGTTCTCCCCTTCCGCTCTCTCCGTCGTTAGATTCATTGATGTGTGTTTGAATACTGTGCCCCCTGACCTCTCCTTCATATCGGGTCTTTTTATCAATGTGTGATTTTTCATATACCTTCCGGTGCCGTTTTTAATTATGCCTCTAGCTTTGTGAATGGATAAAAGATTAATTCTTTGCTGATGATTTGGCCTCTTTGTCGGTTCAAAGCCGAGATGGTTCCTCATACGACTTGAGCTCTTATTTCTTTTCGGGTGCTACTGGTTGCATAGTCATTGTTTTACCGAAGCCAATGATGACTGATGGCACTATTGTTCTGGGGCCGGGTACTTTGTTGTCGTTTTTGGGAGCCCATTTGGGTTGGTTTTTTGTACTAGCAATGGTTCTAAAATAGAAAATATCTATTCCGAAAACGCTTGTTTCGTTTATTTTTGATTAGAAAGTCTCATATGTTTTACCTAAAAATACGGCTTCGTGCGATCGACAGCACCGACGCGCTTTCCTGAAAAGGCTACGGTTCTCAAGTTGTGCACATGTGCACTTGTTATAGATAGTTTTTCTGGAGCAAGCAGACTGTTTCGCGTCCTGCTTGCATTCTGTTCAAACTCTACGCAAACGACTTGCCTATAAAGGGCTCCAAAGTCAGGCACAAAAGCCGCCCATAACCAGCAGAGTAACCAGAGGCTATTTTAAATTTTTTTTTCAACTTCTATCTTCTCGTTTTCGTGGACCTTTAAAATATTTGTTTCAGATGGATTTACACGCCGAGAGGAATAATACCTTCGCGCAAGAGTACTTTGGCTTTTCGCCCGCAGGATTGACGGATAGCGGTAGGCCATCGCTTTCCCCCCTTGAATCAACCTTCTTTCAGTCCACAATATTGTTATCGAAAGATGGGGCCAGCTTGTTGACGGCGTTTTGAACGACCCTGCCCTACCAGCGGTAAGGCTTGATCTGTTGAATGAAATTCCTTTTTAGGAAATGAAGAATTCGGACACCAGGTCGGCTCTTGCAACTCTACTCAACAAGAACAACGTTTTCAAGCAAGCACTGGATTGTTTTGATGTAAGTGTATTTTTGCTTATGCCCTTTGGGACATGAGAGCATTTTAGGGTCTATATCATCCTTTTAGGAACGACTGCGCAAATACATCATGCGAATCCCGGATGAAGTGACTTTGCCAGAGCACCTCGACAATCTGGAGGTATTTCTTGTCTTTGAGGTATATACTTGGTCGTTAGCTTCCGGAAGGCTACAGTTTGAAGGCGGTTGAGCGAGAAATTGCGGCGCTGGAGCAGGAGTTGATAGAGGTGATTTTTAGTTATTTTTGGTACTGTGCGGTTAGCGGAGGACCAAACTACCTAACTTTAGTAGTTTAGGCGAATCATAAATACACACAATTTCTGTAGCGTTTACGCCGTTTTGACCTATCAAGCCTTTTGCAACAATTAAAAACTTGTTTTTGTTGAAAGTTTTCAAAAATCTATTTTCTTATTTATTTTTCTAATTTATCTTGGCAATGGAAAACAAATAATAAATCACCATAAAACGCTACAACTTCTTGTTAGTAGGTATAGCAGATAGATTTTCCGTCCCCGCTGCCTCTTCCCACCGCTAATAGCCCAGTACATATTAACTAGCAGAAACGGATCACCGTGGCCAAACAACGAGCTGAAGAGCGGGACATCAACGACAGCGCGCAGATTCTGGCGGTCAGTGATTAGTTAATTTCCTCTCAAAACATTTCTGGATTTAGGCGATGTACGCGCGTATTGCTGGCGACGATGACGAAACGGCTTCGTATCTGAGCACGACACTCGGTAACCTGACGATAAGCAAGAGCAACCTCGAAGACCCGACGGATGGTGAAATGGCCGACGAAGCCGACTAATGTTTATTTCCGCAAATAATTTGCTTGAAGAAAGTTACCGTTTTCTGACCCACTTGATTTGTACTACTTCATAGAAGATGATCTCTTTTGTATATATTGCCTTAACTGTTCTGGACCAATAAATCGTTGCGATCTGATGTCGTGGAGAACGTGATGGAAAAGAAAATGGTGAAAAAGTTCTACCCGGCGTCGTTTGTTGAGATCCCGAAAGACGAACAGCTTTTTTTGAATTTGCATACGGAAACAACTAAGATTAGGATGCGGACCCGATATAAAATGCACATTAGGAACTTTTCACGTCTTGCTACTTATTTATATCTGCCTGGCGGTCGTCTTTCTCTCAGCAAAATGTGGCGGAATTGGCTGGGAAAAAGCTCGGAGGCGTCTTCTGGATTGTACAAGAAAGTGAAGGGATGGGTACGCCGCAAAGATACAGGTAATATTTTGGCATTCACCCAGGTTGAGCCATTCTTTAGACGACCCAGAAGCTGAACCTGTTGCCGAGGAAGCGGCGCAAGAAGAACCACAAGCTGCGCCAGCCGCTGCGGCGCCAGCTACGCCACCACCGCCTGCAGCCCCTGATCCGACCAGCCCCAAGTCGACGGCCACTAATTCGTCCAGAGCCAAGTAGGCCCTATTTTCGGGGCAAAACATGATTTCTTATCTTTACAGCAGCAGCAGCAAAAGCCTCGCCGTCTCGCCAGCCTCATCGACGAAAAATCAGCCGAGTGCTGAGGATATTTCTGTCGGAAGCGTCAAAAAGTCGTCGAGAGAAAGAAGATCGAGCAGAGAGCGCAAATCCTCAAGCTCTACTCGAAGCGTGTCCTCTTGGAGTAGTGAAGTGTCACGGGTCGGTCTTTGTGAGCTGAGCTCCATTACGTCGAAATGTCGTCCTTTTACGCCTCGATTAGTCATCTTAAACATCTGGCAAATCTGTTCTGTGAATTCTTATAATTCAACACTTCCTCTCTAGGCAGCCCGCAAACTCGTCCGCTTGAAGCCGATCAAGGTGTCGGAGAAGAAGCTGGCAAAATGGGGCAAAATTGTTGAAGAACGGCTGAAGCGGCGAAAAGCCGCTGCTGAAGATCCGGCCACGAAACCGCTCTACACTATTGACACCCCATTTCCGGCTGCCGATAGGTGGGTATTGCCACAAGTATTAGTTGTCGCTCTTTTTAGATCAAAGGTCGAGGAGGCTCTGGCGAAAAAAACCGTCCCCAAGCCCACAACGACGCCGTCGTCGAGCAGAAAATCAGTGGAAAAGCCGAAGAAAGAGGACAAGAAGGAAGAAAAGAAAAATAGGAAAAAGGAAGAGAAAGCGAGTAAAGAGAGCTCGAAGACGAAAAAAGGGAAGAAAGGCGAGAAGAGAGGCAATTTGCTACCGAACGGAAAGACGCTTCTTCCGAGCGGGCAACCCTTTTGGGTTGATCCCAATGCTGAGGATGTAAGCCATTTTCCACCTACGGGTACCGCTATGTTTAGGAGAAGCCGACCGACGATTCGCTGCCGCTGAACGCGGCTGTGATGCTCGACGTGCTGCGCGGCGAGGTCAAATTGAAGACGATGCCCGACGACCAGTAATTGTATTTTTGGCACCCAAAAATTGTTCTTGCAGAGTGAAACTTGACCCGATGGCTGAAGTGAAAGATCTGCGACGGAAGCAGCCTTTCTTCGAATACGAGGTCGTCTACGGAAATACGGTCCGGTCGATGATCAACGCTTCGGGTAGACGATTTCCCATTTAGCGTCTATTTTTCGATTTAGAATCCGTGAATACGCGATCGACGGACCGCAGCGAGTACAGCCAGATCGCTTCCAGGTGGTTACTGCCACTGGGTCTTTCTTATTATCTGATTTTCAAATATAAATAGTGGAAGTGTTGCTAAACGGTTTTGACTATTACTAACCGTAAAAAAGTTTCAATTTTCATTGAAAAAGTCAAAAATATCGATTTCAAGACCAAAAATGGTCGTTTTTGACAGAAATTTCAACTTTTTAAAAGTGTTTAGTTTAGATAATTTTTTTCTACAGTTATATCTAACTAAAAACACTAGATATTTCTAGACTTAAAACTGCTCTCCCCCCGATAATGCGAAAGAACCCTGCAGCTTGATCCTAACTTTTCGATTTTCGTGCCAGCGGGAGCCCGAGGATCGTTCGAGAGCGGACACCCTTGAAGATAACGGAACCGAGTCATTTGACCAGGTATCTAGAACCACCTTTCATTTTCAATTCCTTTCAGTTACACGCCACAGTTGAAGCTGCTGAAACGCGAGAAATACCGCCGTACGTCAGCCCATGCCGAGACGAGCCATCGTCGAAGCTCCAAAAAATAGCGCCCAGTTAATCCTGCTTATTTGATTGTATCTACTTGAACTGTCCTTTGTTTTTGAACTTCTTCGGTCTTGTGATGTGCCATTAATAAAGATGTCATAACTGAGTGGGTCGGGCTCTATGCCAGAGACACACACCAGTTACGATCTTCCCATGTTGGGGCTGTTACTACTCTTCTAGTTAGGAACCCTAATCCTAACTTAACTGGCTCCGCGCCATAGGTTGTTCTATACAATGTCCCAGATACGAACTATGACTAAGGATACGAATTTGTGACGTTGACACTCTTTTGACTAGGGGGGAAACTCATGAGAAGGTCTTAATGTATAAAGTGTATTTGTTACCCACGGACTTGTTATGAGGGGTTTATTAGAGTAACTTAAACTGTCATATAAAAACTGAGGACGGGATAGAGGCCGAGAAAGGAAGTCGGCCGGCGCGGATACAGACCCTAACAAATATGATTCTTAGAATTTATAAAGCATCAGAAAGGGGACGGAATCCCGTCGGCCCGAGAGGGCCTCCGGTCTCCCGTGGGGCTTCGAGTTAGTTGAGCTTAAAGGAGGGTCAGGGGGGAAGGGGGATCAGAGTCTGGGGATCGACTGACTGATTTAGGGAATCGAGGGGATGACCCGCTTGGGGGGCGGGGCAGATAATGGTGCCGCAGGCACCATTAAGCATATGTGCAGGCACCATTAAGCGTATGTACTACAAAGAGTCTCAACGGGTGAACTTGATAGCCTATCAAGTGTCCAGTGGAGCTGGCGGATTGGGTAGAGGATTTCAGATCCCAAGCTTTAGGCGATGGTGATACAAGATGCTCAAAGATTGAGGAATTGGAAGCGTCAAGTTTCTCTAAAAGAATACCACGAAAAATGTCCCAACCCCGTAAGTTAGAAATTGCGTAAATTATAAAAGCTACCCAATTAGCATTGGTTTCGTGGTACATATAGGAGGAAAAGTTGTTTTTCTCTACATTGATTACTAATCGCTATCTAACCAACTAACAACAACTAAGATGCTACTGGTAATTGACAGTCTATGTTTTCTATTCTCTTACAGCACCCGGATGTGATGCTCCCCATGTTTCAAGGGCTGTGGATGCGGCTGGGGAAGGCGAGGATTGAAGCGGCGAGGGCGGAAGACGCATATCGGACCGAGGTGCGCGTTTATCTCACTAGTTTTAATGTCACTAATCAGCCGATATATATTTTTTTGTTTCAGGAGATGTGGGCATCGATCACCTACTGCAAGCTGTACGACGCCTTGCTCGAACGCGAGGAGGCTGCACGTCATCTATGGGCCACCAAGGCGCCGCGTATGGCCGACAAGCCGCCCCCGGCGTATTTCACGGTACGAGGAGTCTAGGTTACCCCTTACATTTAAAAAAAACGGAAGAGAAAAATAATTGTAAACGAGACTTCAAACTCTTCATTAAAAATATCATCCTCTTCCAGCCCCTCAAAATCCCTTTTGTCGAGGGGAATATGGCCATGGATGACGCCTACCAACGCTCCATCGCCCAAGCCGAGGCCGCAAGCCGCGAGCAGAAGAACATCGGCGATTTGGAGAGGGTAGGAAAAACGGAATTTCGGGTACTGCCTTGTTAACGGGGGAGGGGGGAGCATTGACCTACTACCCTGGCCCCCATAATGAAATACACATCTTTATATAGCTTTTTACGCGGTTTTTATATCTCTAAAGTTCATAAAAAGGTTATACAGTTTTAGCAAAATTTTTATTTGGTAGTAAAGGTGTGAAAATGGTCAAATTAAAATGTTGTTGTTACATTTTAGTAATCGGAAATCGGAAATAGTAAAAATTCTACAAAAATCGCTATATTTTTTACCAGGGAGGTTGAATAAAGGAAGCTAACATACGTCCTCTACTAAAAAAGCAGAAATTTAGAAAAACTGCGTTGTTTCTAGGCCCTCAATGACTACGTTCGAGAGCGTCGGGCCCAACTGAAAGCCGAGATGCTTCGCATGAAGAGGGAGCTGGAGAAGGTTGAAGAAGAAATGGAAGAGATGGTCAAAGCACTATAATTAAGGACTCTGTTTTTGTTTAGGGCACTGATGCCGATCTTTCCCGCATCAAGTTCGCCAGGCGATTCTCGGCGACGTGGTTAGACTGCGCGCTGACGTTTCGTTATGAGACACATCGACTGGGAGAGCTGCTGCCACCGGCACCGCCGCTAAAGGTGCCGTCAGTTACTTGTAGTTTAAAAATTTTACTGGCAAAACTCTTTCGGTTCTTTGGGTTTTTCCCCCAGAAGGCTTTTTACACGTTCCCTAAACAGGTTAAATTTGAGCAAAAACACTTTTAAGATGTATAAAACAGATTTTTCGACCAAAATTTGAAATGTTCGACACTATTTCTGTCTATTGTCGGCAATTTTTTAAACGGCTTTTTCCAGGATCTCAGGCTCATCAACTGGGCTCTTCCTCCAGCCCCGCCAAGCCCGGCAGCTGATATCAAGGTGGAGGAGGCCGACGACGCCGTCAGGGTCGGCCCTGATGACAGCCAGAAGGCTGACGCTGCTCCGGGAGAAGCCGAGAAGGAGGAGCAGCGTGCTGCTGCTGGCTCGGAGGTCAAAAAGAATCGTAAATCACAAGGATGCATTCTAAAAACTCGAAAGCTTTGTTGTGGCAGCCACACTTGGCACAAATCTTTGGCGATTCGAAACTAAGGATTTTAAAATTTTAAATTAGAATGGGAACCGATCAATAGTGCTGTTATTGGGTCATGATTCCTCGGGGTCCTGGTCATTTCTCTGAAATGCGGCTTCTCGTCCAGTTGGGGGTGCTACTGCTCGCGCTTTTCGCCGGGTGTCTCGCCGACGATACCAAGCTGGTACGCAATGGATAGAACTAGAATTTGTTCTCTTTTTTTCTTCTTTTTGTATATGACTTTGTGTTCTTTAAAATGGAATGTTCCATAGAAATTATTTGGCTAAATCTAGTGGTTTTCCGCCCGCTCCCTCCCCCGGGTCGAGGTTCGCCTTCCACTCGATTTTCCGGCTTTACTTCTTTTTTACATGATTTCGTTTTCTCTTTCTTCCTATAGAATGCATTATTAGAAATTCAATACTCATTTGCAGCATCTGGAGGATAAGTTGCGCCCTGGCTGCAAGGGACATCACTTGTGGGAGTCGCCATTGCCCGTGTCCCTCGTCTTTCTCGTTGACCGATCGGCCGGCGATGTCAAGGTGGGCTTTATTTTGCGTGAAGATCAAGTCCCTTCCATTTACAGGCCTCGAAGACGAGCTTCTTCTACAGCACCATCGCCTGCGTGCTGCCCGCCGAGGCAAAGTTGATGGTATATTTCTGTTAGAGTGTTTTAGATATTTATATTTTAGTTGATCGATCTGCCGATGCGCGAGGCACCCGTCTGGACGGACAGCAAGGGCTTACGGTTGGCCCTCAACGGCTCGGCACCCATTTCCAAAGGTGAGTTTTTTTTAGTGCGGTAGGGACCTGCCGAATTTTGCGTGTTTTTCTAGTTTTGGTCGGGGTGGGAGCTTGTTCTTTTCTCGTGGGTTAGAGTGCAGTTTACCCCCCAGCCGTAACTTTTCAGCCATACGTCCTATTAATGCGCCGAGTATCTCAAAATGTTCCGCGTGGTCGAATTACTATAAAAAAGTTGTTTCCTTGCATCAAAAATTGTTAGAAAAATTTTTATAACAATTATAAGTCTGGGTTTTCTTTAGTTAATTTTTGCTGTTCCAAAGTGAGTTTTCGTATCTCGGCTATCTTTTGACGTACAGAGCTGTCAATAGTACCAAAATGTAGCTCTTGCTCTGGAGAATAAGCCTACAGTACGTTTGAGTCGAAAAAAATAACGGAAAATGAAAAATATTTGAGTTTTAGACTCCTAGTACATCGAAGCATAGCGGCTTAATCTTTTCAACTTTCAAAATCTTGTAAAAAATTTTTTAGCAATTTTTGCCGCAAGAAAACAACTTTTTTATAGTAATTCGACGACGGCGGACATTTTGAGATACTCCACGCATTAATAGGACGTATGGCTGAAAAGTTAGGGCTGGGGGGGATAGACTGCACTTAAGCCCGGTCGTGTTTTGACAGCTCCTTTTACGCCACTTTTCAACCTTGACGCGTTTAGGCTATTTGTTTTTCAGGGCTTGAACCACTCTCGGTGTGCCAACGAATCGACGCCATCAAACCGGCAAGCTCGTTCGGCGACGATGTGCGGAACCTGCATCTCATTCTGGTCACGGACCAAGAGGAATTGGAACGCCACCCAGGTGTGAAAAGTCTAAATAGTCTCTGTTAGCTGGTCGACAAATGGAAAGCTGGCTTCAAGCGTTTTATGAGTTTTTGTTTAGACTGCGACATCCGGAAGCACTTCTCGTCGTTTGCCCATCGACTCGGAAGCGTGGATCCGTTGCGTGTGCATTTGGACACGATTCTCGTCGGCTCGGAGGTAATAAATGATTTAAACGGTTTAATTTTTTGCATTTGCAGCGCAAACTCCCCGGGAAACGCGCGACGATCCCGGCGTGGACGACGATCTTTGAGAAATGTAGGGTTTCTATGTTTTTCTTCTGCCTCAGCCTCGGAATGTTGTCGATACTGTTCAATAGTTTTGGTGAATTTTCGTAGAGTTCGTTGCAATTCTATATTTGCTTTCTTTGTAGTCGGCGAGAAACAGTACGTGAGGGAGGACTCGTACAAGGAGAAGCGCTATGGTGACGTGGTCGACGAGTTTTCCGCGTACATTGACAAGGTGAGCGTGATTTCTTGACATTTGAACAGGTGTTTTTCCCGCCGGCCTTTGATCGCCATGGATTAGTACTTTTTCAGATATTCACGGAGACGCGCCTCGTTAATGATGTGCTGATTGGGGAAGAAAAGGAGGAGAAGCGGATGGGACCGATCGACACCACCATCACGCACAACAAAGGTAAGGAGAATCTGTGTTTGCCGACACGTTGGCCTTATCATCTCGACCATGTGTGCCTAAAGAATACATCCTTAAAGGGCTGCCGACGGCATGTGTCGACCCCCTCCCCCCATCAACAAATTGGCAAGTAGCCAACAGGGGAGAGAGCGCGCCCAAGGGAGAGGCGCAGAGACATTTTCTTTTCCGCGCGTAACCGATTGACTATGCCGTCGGCATCCCTTTAACAGCTTTAGACAACATAGCCTAGCCAAACAGTGAAATTTCAGATATCTTGATCCCGTCGAATGGCCCCCCTTCAACTGTCCACAGCCCAGAAACGGAATCGCCGAGCATGCTACCCGCGGTCCCCTTGATCAGGCACAACCGAGCCGAGCCAGTGCCCACTGGTGAGCGCCTTCTTGCCGGCGCTGAAAGCCGTAAGTGTTCAGTTTAAATGTTTGGAGTGTTATTTAGCTGTCCAGTCCTAGTTGACGTACGGGGTCGATTCTCCTTGAAAACTCTCTCAAAAACTATTTTTTATAGAAAACTCGACGAATGCGACCGTATCAAGTGAGGAATTGATGCCGACGGTGATTGGTGGATGGAATGGCACCGACAATTCGACCATGGAAAGGAATAGTAGGGCTACAGTTACTGTTTTTGAGGGTTTTTGTTTCTTTACAGAGACGCGCCCCTACTGGAATGGCACCGAGGAGCTGGAATACGGGTGGGGTTTTGTGCCAGTATTCGTTGAAGAAAATGAGCAATTGGTGTGTTTTCGCTTGCAGCTGGCGGGACCCGGGTTCGACTCCCGGCCGCGGAAACGATTTTTGCTTCTCCCCAGAAATGATTTATCGCGAAAATACCGATAACTAATCGATTTTCCAGAAAAGAGCACGAACTGGTGACGAACCCGCCCCGGGACCCGATCGACGTTCAATGGGTTTGGGTGGGAGGTTTTTTTTGGAAAGGGGCTAGCTAGCAGAGCGCGTTTGGGGCGTCAATCTAAATCAGGCGCGTTTTCGACAATGTTGTAGGGGTTTTTGCAAAAGTAGTGGCGCGGATCGCTAGGAAACTAGCAAAAACCGTTTAGGAATCTGGCAAGAATCTTTTTTTTTACAGCTGGTTGTTGCCCTGGGCGGCTGCATGCTTTTCCTGGCGACGGTGTTCTGCTTCGTTTGTTTGTGTCGTGGATCAGATCGGGACACGACTACGAATAGCTCCTCTGCCTCCAGCCAGTCTCGCCGGGACCCAGGACCCGCCACAGGGGATCGCGTGGGGATTTGGAGATGATTTTCGCTAGTTTTTACCGTGCGGCTACCAGTTCTTGCTGAACGTCTTGAAAACGTCGGCGCGTTAATAGGCGTTTTGTTGAGTATTTCGCAAGGAGAAAGGCTATTTTCGCTTTGGGCGCCGTTTTGATAATGAGAGTAAAATGAGTGTTTCTGTCCTTTTTTTACTATACTTTCTTTTCTAAAATCGTACGCTTCCAAAAATACAAAAATATTGAATTTTCGATCAAATTTCAAATTTTTGTATGTCGTTCTTAGTGTCTAGCACTTAAAAGCTGCGAAATTTTCGTAAAATCTGGCTGAACGTCTTGAAGACCTCGTTAGATTAATACTTTTTTCAGGAGACGCTGCCCCTCGTCAACCCGTCCATGCTGCCGGCCCCAGCGGCCAGTGAACGAGCCCCCGACCCGTACAGCCCGGTCACCTACGGACCCTCTGGTACTCAGCATTTTCTGCGTTTTTTTAGTGCCATTTTCAGGTGAGGCGGCCCCATCGGCGATCGTCATCACCCCGCCCATCGTCCACGATACCGAGTTTGAGCATCACCCGCCCGCTGAGCAATACATCCCGCCCGATCTCTACCACCACGGCCAATTCCCCGCCAAGCCCGACCTGGTCAGCAAGCTTTGTTAAAGGGGCTGCTAAACCGCAAAACAGCAAAAAAATGAAATTTTTAGCCAAATTAAAATGGTTCGAAATTTTAAGAAATTGCTGCGAACTTTTCGTACTAAAAAATGGAGTGTAAAGCAACAAATTTATTTTAATTAATTTTTTAAAATTTTTTATTAAAATTTATTTCTTTTTTATTTGGTTAATAATTTTTATCTATTTTTATGGGCTCCTTGACGATAGGCCAAAATCAGCCCACCCCCCCCCCCCCCCCGCCCCGCTAAGAGTGCAACGCTTTTAAAACCCCTTTATATTTTGAAATTTTCCAAAAATTTTAAAATTTTATTTTTACAGGTATGGAATTCTCTTCCATCTTCACTTTTCTTACTTTAACTATAGAATTCTGTCATAAAAATTATATTTACAGAATATTCAATTTATCGGCTTTTCAGGCGCGCCCGGAGCGTGGCGCCCGCCCCCTGGGCGTCGACTACAAATTCGACTATTGAGCCGTCGCTGGGCCACGCCCCTTTCCACGACTCGCCGAACAGCTCGAACATGTCGAATTGATCATCATCACCATCCGCCCCCCTCAACAGACTACAGACGGACGAGGCCACGCCCACTACGTGAAGCTGCTCCTCCCCCTCCCTACTCCACACTAATTGACTCGTCCATCCCCCCCCCCTTCTGTCTCTCCACATGTGCAAAAAGAATTCTTTTCTGAATCGAATAAACGGGTTCAACTAGTGTACTGTTTGGTAGACTACGCTACGATACCATGTACGCTGGATTTCGTGAGCTATTGGGAGAATTCTTGTAATTTAGGAGTGTTTCATCGAATCCTACCAAAATTTTTGCCGAAAAATTGGGTATTTTGTAAACTAATAGAGTGAATTTTTAGGGAGCTATTTTGTAAAACAGAAATTATGTAAATTGTAGTAAAAGGAAGGTATTTGGTTTTCAATTTAACTGTATAGCTTTATTTTTTTGTGATTTTAATTTATAGCCATTTCAGTTGTAGTAAAAATAGTTTATGCTGGAAAATAGGAAAGAACAAGTCATTTTAGCGCTCAGATGTGTACAGATAACGACGAAAATCACATCGAAAAAATTAGACCGGATCCTTTTAATGGCTTATTATTCGTCACTCGTCGACGCGGACCCCAAAAATATCTGCAACACTTGCTTCCGCATGTGTTCCGGCCATTTTCCGGCTTTCTTGACGTTTTTCCCGGAAGATGACCAGCTGTAGAGATCGGTCGGCCAGTCCTCCGCCCATTTTGGACCGTAATCCACCTAGGAAAATGAAGATAATAAAATATGGGTTTTTTGATCCCGAGAAGCAACTAGTCTATAAAAATTTGATAACTTTTAATAAAATTTTTAATGACTTTTAAAGGAGTTGCAACATTTCTTGGCATTTCTCAAAAATATGGACGGAATTTTAATGCCTCTTTACTATTTTTTAAACGTTTTTAATTTATTAAAATGAACTGTAAGTCCTTAAATCCCGAAATCTATTGAGAATATTTTGCAAAAATGAGTTTCACGTGTTTCGATACCAACGTTTTTCGTAAAAACAGTATTAGTCATAACCCCGATGTCGCCAAGCAAACATTTTAATGAGCTGGAGAATTTAAATAAATATTAAAAAAATAATATTTAATTTACCGAGGTCCACGTTCTCAGAATAAATTCAAATTGGCTTTTGAAAATATCGAAAGACCAATATTTTGCGATATTTTTATTAACGTTCAGCTACCAAATTTCCTCAAAATTTCAAATATCGTTTCAAAAGTTTCAAAAATAGAAACTGAAAAATTACTGTAATAGCGTCTTGTTTCTCTTGAAAGCTATATGTAAATGTATCAGCATACCCGAATGGTCTCCTCAACATTGCAGGGCACGAAAAAATGGCGCCCGAGCAGATTTGCCGAGCAGAATGAGGTGTACCTTAAAGGTAACGATTTTTAGCAACATTTAAGTTCAGTTAGATTAAATTATTTGTTTAAAAATTCAACCTTACCGTGGATAGTAGTATCTGTACTTTTGCAGTGAGTTGCTCGTACCGCCCACCCATGAATATCTGCCCTCATCGTACACAATAAATATATCGACCGGCAACTCGAAATCCCACGCGTACACCGTCATTTCGTAGCCTTCCGACGGCTGCAAATTATACATATTCTATCATTTTTTGGTACTTTTGTAGTATAGGGGGGGGATGGGATCCAATTTTGGTACTGGACTTTTAGCGGGGGGAACGAATCTTATTTTTGCCGCTTCTTGTTAATATACCTGCTAATAATATATACTCTTATTTATAGTGCTTTTAGCAGTTTTAATTATTAATTTAAAAATTCTAGGATTTTTGACAGTTTTTGGTCATTTTTCGTGCATCAAGACAAAACATTTTATAAACCAGCGCCCAAAACCCGCTTCGCGGGCCTTGGGCGCTGGAATTGTGCCTTTGCATGAAAAATTTGACTTTCCGATAGCTCGGATAGCCCCTTCCCCCACCGACCACACACGCGCGTGCAAGTGTCAAGAATGAGAAAATTTCTATTTTTTCACATTATGCAAATTACCCCCAAAAATGAATAAAACCGGCTTTAGCTTTGTAAACTTGTATTTTATCGCGATTCTGAGAACGTCATCGGAAACAGAAGGGTCGATTCCCCCGGGTGACGGAGAATTAGGGCATTTTATGCACGGGAAGGCCCTTAAATCGGGCCTCGAAAGTGACATCCACACACACACACACACACAGTTACACGCCAAAATTATATAAGGTAGGATTTTTGATATCTAACCCCCCCCCGTTAACAGACCAGTGCCCCAAATTTGCAAATATGTATAAAGGACGCGGTTTCAACCGTTTTTTAGTTTTCCTAAACTTAGAACGACAAAAAATTAATATAAATATAGAAAATATAGATGCTTCGAGGAAGAAGAGATTTCCGCCAAAATATCCCAATTTTCAAAGTTTTTTAGATAGTTTTCCACTTATATAGTTAATTTTGCTGATTTATTTACTAAAAATTATAAAAACATCTAATTACTTTGCTAGACATTTATGGACCTATGGGAAAAATTAGCCCCCCCCCCGATAATGCAAAAGAACCTAGGATAGCAGATACCATTAGGGATCGATATCTAGCTTTGTTATATAATCCCAACCATTCCAAGTATTCGATACAATGCCAACGGTCCATTGGTGGGAAGTGTTGCGAAATGATGTTGCAGAGATGGGCTGAATTCTGCGTGCCTGATCCCGAGATCCATATCATAGGTATGGGGAATGATTGAACACTCACGGTACCAGCCTGCAAAAATAGATTGAAAGGATTTTAAAGGGACAGGAAAGGCGTGGCTAGGGGGTTCTTTCGCATTATCGGGGGGGGGGGGTCTATGGGGTTTACGATTTGAAACGATACAAACTTTAAGTAACCAAATTGCAAATTTTCGTTAAAAAAGTCGAAAAATTTTGAGTTTTCGGTCCGAAGCTGGTCGATTTTCGACAAAAATCCCGACGAAAAAGATTCTTTCTCTCTTTTTTTGCCTTCCCACTTGAAATAAAACCTCGAAAATCCATGTTTCAAAAAAAAATCAAAATATTTTTTGTTTGAAACCATATTTTTGACGAATATGACAAAATTTTCAAGAAGTGATTGCTTTTGAATTGTCTATTTCCCTTTAACAGCATTTCGATGAAAAAAGCTTATTTTTTCAAAAATCAAGACGTTTTTAAAAAGTTTCAGGATTTCTTGGAAATCTATTTTTCAGAAAAAACAATGAAAAAATTTCCGAAAACATTTTTAGTAAAATTTTGCGATTCTGTTGCTTTTAAAAGTTGAGTATGTCAAACTTTCAAAAAAATCGGTATTTAAAATTCAATATATTTAAAGTAATGTAGTAAGTAAAGTAAGGTACCATACCCAATAACGTGCCACCCTGCAGAAATGGATATGCCCCATAATTGATGATAATATCCCGAATGTCGGCCAGTGCTTCAATCGATTCGAGGGGATATGTTCGATTTGTCTCCGATTCATCCCGTTGTAGCACTAAAAATCAGGGTAGGCTAGCAGAGAAAATTGAGGAATTTTTACTACCGAAACCTACCGTTTTTACACTCAATTTCACGACTTCGACGCCAGAATTCGAGAAATTGCGGAATATTCGCCGGCAATTTCACGCTTCCAATTTGATGGTAGATGATGCTGGAATTTAAAGGGATTGTGAAGTTTCAGATTTTTTTAAAGAATCTCTGCCAGTTGCTAATTTTTTGCGCATTAATAGATTCCAAATGGCACAAAATTGCTGGGGACACAGAATTTTTAAACAACCTGGATTTTTTCATATTTTATGATTATGTCGTTTAGACTTGCAAATAAAATTTAAGTTAAGGGCGGATCAAAATTAGATTTTATTAAACGGTCAAAAAAATATAAATAAAAACTCAAATTCTCACCTTTTCGGGAGCAATCTAAACGTGCGATTGTCCTGGACCTGGATGAAATCTTCGGCGTCGTTTTCGGTGTATGGCAGCACGCGAAAAAGCTTGAGTAGCTCTAAAAAACAGAATAATTTCGGAACCAAAATTTTTCAAAAATTCGGAAACCAATAACACCCAATTTCCTTGAAAATTTGACTTTTTCAACAAGTAGCGCTTTTCAGCATCTCGTTCCATTAAGCGAGCTTCGAAAATTTAATTTTTGACAATTTTTGAAACATCACATTTTAAAAAATTCTAGCAACCAAAAAATGTCAATTTTTGACAAATTGTGAAACATTCGAATTCATTTTTAAGCATTTTTTCATGCATTTCTATAAGTTTTGCATTTATTAAAGCTCAGAGAAAACAAATAAAACGAACCTCGAGTTACGGTATGCCCCGAATCTTTTGCGATCATCGTCATCAGGGGGGTATCGCGGAATGGCATGGCAGTTACGGTGGAATTCGGAGAGGAAAACTGGGTCTGAATTTTTAGGTTGGATAATACGGCTTTTGATCAGGGCATACCGACGATGACGAGCCCGACGGCCGTCATGTTCAAGGAGAGCAGGGCTTGGTGGCATGGCTCCTTTAAAGGGATCGGTTAGTCTAGGGCTGGGCAGGCTAGCAGTGATTATTTGGGAATTTTGAGACGGGTCTCTCGTTTCCAAATTTTTTAACATTCGGGGCAGGCTGGCAGAGACCATTTAGGATTTGGGAGCATCTGGATGATGAGAGCGTAGGGGCAAGCTAGCAGTGATCGTTGAGGAGTCGCTATTAAAGGGATAGTCTCGCTAAAGAGGCGGCCAGCAGAGACGCTTAGCGAAAATTGGAAAAAGCGGAAACAGAGGTCTGGTAGGCTAGCAGAGACCATTTAGGAATCGATATTTAGGGGACTTCGAAAGAGGAAGCGAGCAGAGAACCTTTGGGAATCCTAAGCAAGAAATTCCGTACCGTTTCCGCATTCCCCCCAGATCGTAGCAGCAAATACAGTAGAATCAACAATCCGACGCACAGTACCCATCGGGCCAGCCGATTCTTGCCCATAACATCTAAAAAGTAATAACGGTCAATAAATACGCGAGATAATTCAATATAAAAAATAATGAAAAACAATTAAAAATAACGTTAAAACTACATTAAAATGTTTAAAGGGACAGAGAAGCCACGAGCCGAATAATCTAGCAAAAAGCAAAACTTCGACCACTCGGGGGATCGAACCCTCGACCAAAACTTGACCGGCAAACGCGCTAGCCATTAGACCAACTCGAATATTATTATGGATTAACTTTGCAACAGTACTAAAAAAGATGACTTTAAAGATATATAAAAGCTTCGACTATCGGCTCCAGGGTTGGCCAATAATACCGTGGCAATAATAATAAATATTGGCCATCAAATGGACCGTGCGGGGACTCTTTGGACAACGGAATATTCGTATCCCTCTCTCTCTCTCTCTCTCTCTCTCTCTCTCTCTCTCTCTCTCTCTCTCTCTCTCTCTCTCCCCTCCCCCTCTCTCTCTCTCTCTCTCTCTCTCTCTCTCTCTCTCTCTCCCTCCTCTCTCTCTCTCTCTTCTCTCTCTCTCTCTCCCGCTTTTTTACGACCAACTCGCCATCGCCCACTTCCACCGGCTTTTCATCACCAAAACCGTGAGAAACCCCAGAAAAGTTCTCGACCAACAAAACGTTATAAGCTAAAAGTAGTTAAAAAGTATCAAAAAAGGATATAAAAAGTATAAAATTAAACCATAGGATTATAGAAAATATAACAAGTAGTTCAGCGGAAATTTAAAAAAAGTGTTGTAGAAATCCCGAAAAACAAGTCCGGAAATGCTGATTAACGTAATAGTATGTATTTTAATAGTTTTTCAGTAAAATTTAACTATATTAAACGCGGATAAACGATCAAAAAAAACAAAGTTTTAGGTGAAATTTTGAGCGAAAATCGGCCCTTTTAGGACCGAAACATCGATATCCGTTTTTTTAATTTCTAATCAAAATCTATAAAGTTTTTACGCTTAGGAATAGCAAAAAAAAACAGTTTTGCAGGAACCGGAAGCCGTAAGGAGCGAAAATATGGGCCGCAACCCCATATCAATTTGAGGGCATAGGCAAGAAGCCTGACCCGTCAACGCCGCCCCTTATCACTCAATTGGCACACGCTGGATTGGTGGTTTTTAATGCCGAAATGGTGTAGAGAGAGGTTATAAACTTGTAATGCTGAAAACAGCATTTTTAAGAAAAGTCCAGCAGAAAAATTCGGGAAAGGTTTCTTAACGGGGGGAGGCGGAATGTCCCACGTTCATGCAGACAGTTTTTAGGAAGCTTCTGATCCTGCTAAATCAGGCAGGCTAGCAGCGATTCTTTGCGAAAATATACGGCTTCCCATAATTTTTTAAAGCTTTTGGGCAGGCAAGCTAGCGGAGAACGCTTGGGAAATGGGGAGACGGTTGATTGCATCGACCTGTAGACATGGCATGCTGGCAGAGAATCTTTCGGAACATTCAGCATCTGTTAAGCCATGGATCAGAGGCAGGCCAGCACGGATTCTTTGCGAAAAACTACGCGTTGCTGCAAGGTTTTGAAATTTGAGGGTGGCAAAGTAGCAGAGAGCTTTGGGAAATGACAGTTTCTCGCGCCGAACGGTCAGCAGGGCAAACTAGCGGAGATTTTTAAGGAGATCGAAGGCTAAAAGTGCTACTTTAAGCCTTATTTGCATCGAAAATTAGAATTTTCCCTGAAAAATGGAATCTATGTAAATCAAGATCTTCCTGCCGCTATAAAAAGCTCCTTCGGCGCAAGTCACTATATTTATATTCTCGTTGCCAGTTACTCGGTTGGTTTTCTGTCAAAAATATTGATTTTCTTGGCTACAAAATAAGGAATTAAAGTATTACGGGCAATAAATCCCAATTCTCCTCTTTCAGAAACCGGTGCGAATGGCGTTCCAGCTGTATGACCATATCTACTTGGACCAGAATGAGCTGCTCGCCGTCCCGCGATATCAGCACAAGGTGTTGCCCCTCTACGGCATGGTGAACACGGGCAAGGAGGACGAACGGTGAGAATGAGCACGAGGGTCCGCTTGCAGCGATAGGCCTTTCAATTTCGACCTCTTGGCCATTTTTCATACACTTTTTTTACCTAAAAAATCAAAATTTTTTGAAATTTATACGAGATTTATGAACTTCTTTACATATAAAACTGCGTAAAATGCTATAAATCTACAAACTTATCTTTTTCAGCTACGAGATCCAGGACATCCTGCACTACGGCGAATTCGGCGACATCTACCGCGTGCGCAACACGAAAAGCCGCCAGTACCATCAGCTGAGGACGGAGCTCGTCAGCCCGCCCGAGACACATCAGCAGTATGAGGTGAGTCCGTGTTGAGGCTGACCGAATCGACGCGTTGATTCCAGGCTCTCGCCGCCCTCTTCCAAGAGTTTTTGCTGCGCGACAACGGCAAGCAGCTCTGGCGTTTCCCAACGTCAGTTATAGCCCCCTTTTCTCGCCTTTCTCTAGTTTAGGTTTTGCTCCCTCCTTCTTGCTCGCCAAAACCTAGAATCACCCTTTTCAGCGTGGTCAACGCCGGCCAGGACGACGACTTCAAGTTCTTGGTGACGAAGACACTGGGGCGGACGGTGCACGAGGTCCGCCGCTACTACGTCAAGAAGAACTTTACGTAGGTCGCTGGCCCTCCTACATTTCTTCGGTCGTTTTTAGGGCCCACGACGCGCTGCACGTCATCACGCACATGTACTTTGCCATCGAGTATCTCCACCAGCTCGGCTATGTGCATGGGTAAGCGAGGGCGCTAAAAGGGGCGAAACAAAGTTTTTTGCTGCCTCTAGAAATCCCTGATAACTTAATAGGCAGTATTTTGATACGTTTTTAGCCCGGTCAAACGACATCTCACCTAGAAAAACTATCTAAAAACTTTCAAAAAGCCGAAATTTTCGTAAAAACTGACATTTTGGTCTTTTACTCAAAATTTGGAAGGTTTTGCCTTTAGGATTAGCAAAAAAAGCATTTTAGAAAAGAAACCCTGCCGCCATTTATGTTTGAAAATTGGATCCTAAGAAAAGCTTGTGTGTTTATTGTTTTTTTTTCACCTCAAACCATATCTTGCAGCGATCTCTCGATCCGTAGCTTCTGCTTTGGCGAAGGCGAGAACGAGAACAACGTCTACATGTACTTGTTTGGACGGTTGCGCAAGGCACGCGAGGAGGGCCGTTTTGCGTGGGTCCCGTCTTGCAGTGCCCCTCAAAAGACGACATTTTCAGCAAGGAGCGCCCGGGCCCGATCTACTACAACGGCCAGAACAACACGTTCTGCCCCCGCACCGCCCACAAGCGCCAAGACTTTTGCCGTCGCGACGACCTCGAGAGCTGGCTGTACATCTCCGCCGACGTCTTTATGGATGGGAATCCGCCGTGGCGCCGCTGCAACAAGACGCGGTGAGGCGGAGCTGTCGCTCTGAGGAATAGCCTGGAAGTTTGGGCTGGGTACTGGGCTGTTAGCGGGGGTCAAACTTTGGCCTATCCCCCCAATGAAAGAAACACACTTTATATAGTCTTTTTACCCGGTTTTTAAGTATAGAAATGCGTATGGCTAAACTCCAGATAACCCCCCAGCCGACCCCCACCTACCGTATCTCGGCTCCCTGTTCATCTACAGGTGTGTAAAGTATACCATAATACTCGCCACAGCAAGACGAACATTTTGGTATACTTTACACACCTGTAGATGAACAGGGAGCCGAGATACAAAAGTTGGGTGCCGGCTGGGGGGTTATCTGGAGTCTTACCGCGTAAAAAGTTATAAATTTAGGCAAATTTCGTTTTGACCTGAAGAATTTACAATTTTTGAAGTTTTCTAAATTTTTGTCCGTTTTTAGCAATCGAAAACTACTAAAAACTGTATGAATACACCAGAAGTGCTAAATAGGTTTTTTTGCTAGATTTGTATAGGCTAGACGCCCCCCGATAACAGCCCAGTACCAACCCTTTCAGCAACCAGCAGATCCCGGAGCCGATCGCGCTGCAGTGCAAGGAGCAATTCTTCCAGGGCGGAGGTGCGCGGTGGCAATAACAAGCTACAATTTAAAATTTACAGAAAAGATCACCAACGACTTCTTCGAGGACACCCCCAAGGAGATGAAGGCGCTCGTGCCCCAGATTGACGCGCTAGCCTTCGACCACGTGCCCAACTATGACGCATTCCGCGGCGTGCTCACCGCGCTGGTGGGGGTGTTAACAGCGCACCAATTCAATACCTAAACGACGATTGAATTAATCTGATTGAAATTGAGAACCGACAATCCTCTTTCAGCGCGAGAAGCTGCCGCAGGGCAAGGCGCCGAAATGGGCAGGCCACTCGAGGACCAACGTCTACCCGGGCCCCAAACGCCCCACCGTCAAGGGTAAAGCCCGATTTCTAGGCTTTACTTTAGCCGGCCTACGTCGATTTAGCCGACTTTTTAGCATATTGCCAAGTTTTAAAAAAGTACAAAAGCGGAATTTAGAGTTTTAGTATTTAGTATGCCACTAAATTTGTACTTCTTAATCTGTGGCCGCAACTACAATAGTTTTTGGCCTTCATTTCTTTACGTCAAAAAAACTTTGCCGCAATGAAAATAGCAGCTATAAATAATTAAAGGCAGTGCAAGACTTACTAAAGTTAACTATAAAGGTAAAAACATAATTATAAGAGCGGAATTTAGTATCACTACTCCGAATTAAAGTACTTTTAAAATTTCTCTAGATCGAAAAACATCCAAACTTGAGCGAAAGAAAGTGGCATCAATACAAAGAAAAATCGTCGAAATAAAACCATACCGCTTTAGCCACGAAGAAGAAGTCGAAGAAGAAGAAGGGCAACCAGAGCCGCGAGCAGACCGAGGACGAGGAGGACGAGGAGGAGGAGTCGCAGGTGAACAAGAAAAGGAAGGTGGGCAGCCAGGCATTCCGCCACAAAACCCCTGCAAATTCAAGAAGAAGTCGGTGAAGAAGAGCCAGGGCAAGCAGCTGAAGCGCAAGGCCTCCCGCGAAAATGTCTCGGCCGAACAGGAGGAGGGCGAAGAAGAGGACAACTACATCAACATCAACCTGTTGCGAAAGGCCGTCGCCAGTCAGGAGGAGGCGGTCAGCATCTAAAATCAGTAGCAGATATTGCATAAGCTATAAGCGGTTCTTTCCGCACGCCTAAAAATTACAGAAAGCCACCTTTTTTCGATCCTCGGTTTAGGACGACGAGTCGGCGAGGAAGGCCAAGAAGGCGAAGCGGCTGAAGGGCCAGTCGTCGTACAGCAAATTGGGCGGCGCCGGGGCCTCCTCGAAGACCTCGATGATGGGCAAACCGACGTCTATCTCGGGGAGAAACGCCGAATAAGCACCAACCTGCCACGCCAGCACCATTTAGCCGCTGTTCCTGCTACATTAATTTACTTGTGATTGCCCCGTCCCCTCGAAATGTGTCGTACGCCTCCGCGTGGCAGTGAATAAAAGTTTTTGGTTACTTCCGTGACTTTTGTGTACGCCTGCCGCTAGAATCACCGCCACATAATTTTTGTCGCTGAATCCGTTTCTGACCTTTATTTGGCTATTTGAACACAAAAACGGCATTTTGGGGGTACCGTAAACTTGAATTAAGCCAATGTACCCAAATTTACTGCGCGTGCGCGTGTCTTTCGAAAGCCATGGTGCGATTGAGGGTGTACCTTCACTGCGTATCTTGCTCGATTTATTAGAAGCACACTGTGGCATCAAGCGAATTAACAGCGTAAACGTATCAGGTCGAAAATTCTTGTATGAGGTAGTCGAACCGCTCGGTCAAGACGTCGGCTTCTGGGGCGGCGCGCAGCGCGGCAGAAGGTCCGTGCGTGAAACCAAATGCTGTGACAAGAATCAGCGCCTGGAAAAGACACATTATTCATGAGGGACCAGCCAAGCCGAATTGATAAGACCCGAGGGCCCAAAATCTTTTTGCCACCGCGCCAAATTAATTGAAGACGACCGACCTGTAGGTCAGTGAGTAGTCGCTGTCGAAACGCTGCCTTTTCGCAGTAGATGTGGATCGTGTAGAGCCCATGTCTCGCCTCTTTCACGATATTAATCTGAAAAAGAACATGATTCCCGATGTTGTCGTCTGCAAAAAAAGAGGCGAAAACGCGACGAGGCGTCACGACCATTGCCGCCCCCATAGTTTTAACCGAACAGCCTAACCCTCATTCATGCGCTAATTTTCTGTGCTTGTTCTACTGCGCAAGAAATGTTTTGAAGCATGCATTTCCGCCTCGCTTGTCAGTGTTTTAAAGTTGTAAATTGTTGTTGCGCAAGCGTCGGGAAGCCACCCGAAAAACCAACCTGGCATAAATGCTTTTCCCGTGTGTCGGCGGCGATGATTAGCTGGGCCTCGGTTTGCTCATCTGTGACATGGACGCGCGTCGAGACGATGAATCGGAGTAGCAGCGCCGGCGTCAACGTCTCTGGTCGGCCACACAACAGATAGGCCAACTGCCCCGGGATCGGAACGGAAGAACACTGCAAATATTTCATTCGAAAATGAACATGACCAAGCTGGTGGTAAAATTCAGATTTTAAGGTGGTCCAGTAAGGTTTTTATCATTTTGTAGTATTCGGAATCTATTAAAAAACCATCAGTTTTTTTAATTACTAGTTAGGTATTGGCTGAATTACAACAAAATCAACTTGCTCTCCAGTTAAAAATTTGCACCGAAAAGTAAATTAACGTACATTCAGAGGACTTGTCAACCCGGCGGGTCTCTTCCGCTCCTCATCCAACTCAGCGTTTGTGCCAAGATTCCAAAGCGTCACAAGTCGAAGGTCTAGTGGAATCCTGGAAAATGGGAGAATTTAGCGGTCAAAATATACGGTCTCTACCTTAACACGGAGCGTTTTCCGTAGACATTCGTCGGAAATAGCCTCTGTGCTTCGATTCGTAGCTCTACCGGTGCTCTGGCGGTCGGCTTGAAATGTATCCGTTCTAAACATCGTGTAGAAAACATCAGCGTACATACCACGAATCTCTTCTCCAGCCAAAAATTTCGCAATCCGTATTGTGTGCGTGGTGCTCGGCGAAGAACCTAAAATAACCATGCCTTGATTTGGAAATACCCACTTTCTGTGTAACTGGCTGGAGCCCCTTGCACAACAATCAGCCAATCCTGTAGCTCGCATCCGGAGCGATTTTCCACACATAAACAGCAGAACAGCGAACCGTCATGTAGATGCTCCGTCTGAAATTGTTGGCTTAGAATTGGCAGTCAGAAAAATAAACCTCTACTCGACATCGCAATGGGAACCCGGCATCGTTATGAAAACTGCGCTTCTCTGACATCCGGTTCGACGCACACGATTCCATCGTTCGACGAATCGCAAGACCCGCCCGGAGCTGGAAGCATTGGGTTGGAAAAGCAACTAAATATCTTTACCTGCCGCGCATCATTCTCAACTGCAGCCAATCGAGTACGTAGAGTATCGTATTCGGCTACGTCCAGCAGCCGATCCTCAAAACCGAAAATGAGCCTATTTTTAGGGCAGAATCAACAAACCTTCTCGAAGTCGGACGTTTGGGGCAACGGCTCCTCAAAGTCCATCGGCTCATCACGACCTTCCGTAACCGATTCTCTCTCTAACGATCCGGAGAACGGATTCTCAAACGAATCGTCATCATCATCCATCCTCGCACGATGATGTACGACGGCACGAAACGGCTTGGAAGCTCTAAATTATTTTCAACAGTGTTCCATTCATTTCAAACATCGAACCGCTTACGCGGGAAAAGGCGGGACTTTTAGGTCGGGTATGGGGGCTGAAATAGTTTATCTCGCCGCAAATAACAACCACCAACAACATAACAAAATAACAACTTGAAAAGCAATGCATGGCACAAGAAAGACAAATTGGGGGGGGGGGGATTAAAGCCTTAAAAATGATGACCAATAGAAGCCGAAAAGCAAGCACGAATTCAAAAATGCTAAAAACAATGGATGCACTCAATTATTGACCTAGGATCAACGATGACGTCTTTTTCGAGTAAGCAATTCTTTCATATCCAAGACCTTATCGTTCAAGTAGCGCACCACAGGGATGTAGAGGTCGCAGCGCCGTTCAAATTCCAGCGTCACGGCATCCACTTGCTCGATGAATTTCCGACCGTCCGTGTAGCTTTGCCGCTCCTCAATCCGATCCAGCTCTTGGTCTCCAGCCGCCAACAGCTCTTTGATCGACTTTTTGACCGTCCGATTCAGATTCGATACGTTTTTCAGAAGTCCGTCGACGACCGTGTTAAACCGATACTTGGACTTTTGGACGAGGTCCGCAAGTTCGCGCTGGAAAAGCTTTTCGCGTTGGTGATTTTCGTGGCGGTCCAGGTAGCAAGCGCCGCAAATAACCTTCGAACAATCAACGCAATAAATCAAGCATTCCGGATGCTGGTCTCTTGAGCAATCTTCACACACGGGGTCCCGACTATTCAGGAGGGCGCGCACGAGGGTCGGGGCACTGCACGGGACGGGTGGACGGGCTGCGCGCACAGCGAACCCTGAGACCCGCAAAAGGCCTTAACAAAAGGGGAAAAAAGTGACAAATTTTCGCGCTTTCAAAATGCGATAACTTTTTTTCTAGGAAAAACTGTCGAGGCGGCTTTTCGCATATGATAGAACAGACCCTAAGGCACCTTTTCCAAAAGAGCTCGGAGCAAATCTGAATCAAAATAAGGAGTTCAAAAGTTTTTTACCGAGCAGAAGAGCGAAAATTCACCCCTTTGTGCGCAGCGCTTTTCTTTGAATATAGCCATTTTCTGGGATCCTTTTTGGTATATTTGCATCGCCTAAGACTTGCCAATGATCAATTGCTTGCTTTTTCGGGGTTGGGGTCTGTAATGGACGAGATTGAGGCCCATCCATTTTGAGCAATTTTGAATTCTGGAGTAGTACTGAACTATTTGGCTTCAATCTACTTTGTATGACTATCTGTCTATATATTCAGCTCGGTTTTATATATATGTGACTTAAATGAGTACTCCAGCACCACTATTCACGATTTCCTTGTTTCTGACTCAGGAACCATATAGTTTGTTATTTTTCGGCATTGGGTACACTATAGAAGGGTTGCTGGCACCTTCAACCACTTTTTGCAAAAAAGAGCAAAACGATCTGACGGTACGGGGGGTCAGAGGTATCGAACCAGCACCCCCCTCCCTGTGGCCTGTGACCGCCGCCTTAGACCACTCGGCCACGCCCCTCCCCACCCCTCGTGCGCGCTCTGAGACCCCGTGCACAGTCTTTACGACCATCAGTTCCTGAGCCATCCTTCGTTCGTTCCGTGTCGCCGTCGACGGCCCAATTCTTGGCAAGCTCATCGTAGAACCTCAGAAATTCTGTGCCGTCCCAGTCCTTTTTGATCGCGTAATCGACGTCGCAAGTGAAACATTTGACGGTTTTGGTCGGCAACCTGATACCGTCGACCCTTTGACTCGAGCAGACACTGCAAACAAGATGTCCGCACTGCAGGGAATGTGCATTTATACTATTCGTCGGCATCATCGCGTCTCGACACCCGACGCATTTTGGTCGAATTATTGTGCCGGTAAAGTAGTAGCCACGATTGTTTTTCTTAGCAGATGGTTGGCCAAGCAGTTCGACAATCCAGCGCACCGGTGTAGGAAATGTCTGGCTTGTCCGGCATCGGGTGCAACAGATTTGGGCGTTTTCGTAAATTGGCGTCATCGGCTTGCCCGCTCCCGCATCGAATGGCCTGCGGCACTTCGGACAGTTGAAACATCCCATCGCCAACGGCTGCTTGACCTTGCCGGTTTTCTTGTCTTTCATTTCCAGCAAAATATGCGATGAATGTTCATAGGTGCAGCAGACTCCACAGACCGTCATCGCGCAGTCCAGACAATTGAAATGTCGATCGGTGGGCTCTTCCAAGTCGCATTTATCGCATTTAGCCGTTCCTTTACACGAGTCGGCCTCTTTATTTTTGTTCTCCACATGTACCTTGTCCAACCAGCCGATGGAGAGCTCTTCCACGAACTTGAGAAACACTTGGGAATTGAATTGATTGGGAGCGAGCCTCGTCTTGCAAACAGGACAAGTCGAATCCTTTGTTTTTCTGAAGTAGCAGGTGTGACAAAGTAGATGTCCGCATTGAAGCGCCAGCGCACGGTGTTCACGTCGCGCCGTGAAGCCATTATGGCATCCTGAGCATGAGGGCAACATCAGAGGACGCGAACATGCGTAACCTTCATTTGTTCTCTTGAGTCCGGGCTGTGCAAGGAAGGCGTGTATCCAGGTTGCAGCGCAGGGCTTCGCTCCTTTCTTGGCCATCCCGCCGAAACAGCTGGCACATTCGTTTCTGCCATTTCCCGTGTTGATCGGACTGTGCAACATCCCAGGGTCCGCGTCAAACGGTTGCTTGCATTTCGGGCAGTTGAAACATTGTATAATCATCGCTGGGTCCCTGAAAAGCAAAACATTAGCAGGAAAGAATGTAGGGGGAGCACGAAGATAGCGGAAAAAAAACCCGGGGGAACGCGCTTCAACAGACTATTCAAATTTGTTTGCTAAATGGAGGCGTGGGGGCGATAAGGCGAACGAGGGCCCCTCCCCCGTTTACCTAGCCTGCCGAGTGCAGCCGACGAATTTGTTCGAAGGGGGAGCCGCCCTTTGGCAAAATGACACAATCTACCCTTTCCGCAAACGGGCCAGTTACGGCATAGAGAAAAGAAAAGATTTTGCTTCCAACTCCCGTCAAACTAGTACTTTGAGAGCCTCTAGGTAAAACGAATTATCGGCGTGGTGACTTGGTTTTCGTATATTTCTCACCAGTTAATGACAAATTTATTAAGACTATTCCAACAACAGCACAACAAGGAAATTGACTACAAGGATGACAAATTCAACAAACTATTAGGGGAAGAGTTCAACACATCGAGACTGAAACAGAGAAACAAGAGATATTATTAAAGGATCCAACAAACGGACAAACAGATAGGAATAAAAACAACAAAATTAAAGTTGGCGGATTGATTCTTTGGACGGAGTGCTTTCGGTGTGCGAGTGCGAGCCAAACTCGGAGGAACTTGAGGAACAGGACGAGGGCGCCCGTGGAGATGGTTGCACAGGCAGAGCGTAGACCCGAGGCTCCCCTTTCGGCGTCAATGGCTGAAGCGTGGAGGTAGAGTGGCTGGTGAGGTTCGAGTTCGACTAAGTTCGGGTAAGACGCGAAAGAAGCTTCTCACCAATTTCTCGCCCGGATACAGCGCAATCCGTGAACACGACCGGGCTCGGTTGGACGGACCAGGGCCGCCGAGGTAGTCCAGACTGCCCTGTACACGTAGAATCGGCTTGGTGTTCCTGAAACGGAATGATCCGGGCATAAATGTTGTTACGCACTTCTTGATCCGGCTGACGGATTGGTCCCAAATCGCCTGCGCAATCTCGGCTGCTACACGCCGCCCCGTACTCTCTCGTATGAACCACAGAGCAATGCATCCATCTGGCTAAGGAAAACAAATGTGGATCTTCAAAGTAATCACATACCATCAGCGCAGTGTTGACGAAATATTCAAACAGTTGATCAGATGGCGATGAGATGCGCACTTGACTGTTTCGTAGAGCAGCGGAAGCCATCGCCATGGTTGCGGGCGTCTAGATCAGATCTCATAATAACTAGAGCAAGCATACCGGTAAAAATTTGGAGGCGCAATACATCCGATAGGCGCGTGACGTCAAGAAAAGGCTGTAGTGCATGGCCATGAACAGCGTGAGGGCGAACAGGATGAGCAACCAAACGTAGAGGAACAGGTAGACTTTCTCGTAGATGTAGCTGGCCGGCATCAGACATTCCACGGCGTTGTAGGGATTGTTCAGCGAGATATCCTCCGTCTTATTGTAGCTGATGAAATGCTGGAAAAAAAATTCGTTTTCGAAAAGCAAGCACACCTGTATAGTCTCCGACGGCATGATGCAAAAGACGGCGCGAGGAAACATTAGAGTTTCTTCGCTGGTAGCTGACACTCCATATACGACCTCTTCTAACAACTGAAAGAAAATATGAAGCCATTGAGCCAAAAATACCTCGAAACCCCATCCTAAGGACCAGTTCCCGATGATCCATTGGCAGAGGTAGAACTGGATAAATATGTTGATTACTTGGAGCCACTTCTGGCATACGTAGACGAATAGTGCTATTCGACCATGTAAAACATGGAACCTAAATAATGAATTGTTTCGAAATCAATCCGAAAGTACCTTTTCGCATTACGCCCAGTAACGTTCAGAAAGAATTCGCAGATTCCGTCTATCTCCCGGGATCGCTCCTCGCCGGTCAAATCTTTGAGGCAGCGCGTCTGGGAGATGATCGAGACGACCTTATTCACTAAGCATTATAAATCAAATCTCCCAAAACATTTATTAACCTCCATCAGCCGACAATCCGAAGGTAGTCCAGGCAAACTTGGGCACCGCAAATAGCATCAGTTGCACGATCAGACAATACGGAATCCACTAAACCTGCAGAATGATGGGAACTGCAGAAATCATACATACCCGGAAATTCCGGACGAGTAGAGGAACGTGGCTGTGGCCCATAAGATCCGTGTAGGGCCGCGCTCGGTCCCTGACGCCTGCGTAGCTGCTCGAGAGAAAGCATTGCTGGTTCAAGAACTCTTCCCACAATGCTGAAAACAAGATTGGCTGAATCACCAAATGCTACCTGGAACTCCAGCGGGAACGATGCACTTCATTGCATCTCCAAAATTCTGGTTAGCCATCGTCAATGCAATAAAGAAGACGAGGATCGCGTTGGTCACCACGCAGTTGAGGATGTCAGAAATGTCGAAGAACGGTGGCAATCGGAAGAAAGACGCCACCGCCCCCATTATACGCATGAGCTTCAGGCTATAAGAACAATATCTTGCAAAAAACTTAATTCACGGTTACAATAACCAACGGGCTCGCCGGAAATCTTCATATACGAACCGGGCTGAGAAGCCATGCTGTTTAGAACGCGTACTATTATTCAAGTGCAAAAAATTTATTATATTTCTACCGCAACGAAAAAAACAAGCACGCATATGGCGTCGAGGTGCGGGCTAGCACAAAATTCACAAAACTCAAAGGCACATAGGCCTAGCGGAAAAATTCAATAACACAAAAGAGCACAAAGGGGGAGGAACTAATATTAAACAGATTAGATATCACCACGACTTAATGAGAATTAATCGAGCGGGTTGTCGAGCTGTAAGTTCCGTGCAGGATTGGTGAATTATTAATATTAGTTTCCTTTGTTTGGCGACTAATGCGGCGTGGCTGACGGAGTTGGCGCCGATGAGAGCCAGTTGATGAACTTGTCCATTTTGTCCCGCCCACACAGGTCCTTGGTGTACATGCCGCCGAAGGGCGAAGGCGGGTCCGGGAAGTCGAACATCGGCCTAAGTTCGTTAAAATTGGCAAAATAAATTCACCTTTGCCCATTGGTAGATTTCGGCGACAGCAAATTGAGCAGTTTCTGGAGGTCCAGCATCGGTGGCTCGCGCTCAAGCCTTCCGCGAGGACTGTAGTGGTAGCTGTCCGCTGGGCTAGAGAGATGGCTGCGATTGTGCGAGCCTAATAAAAACATTATCCGAAAGCGAAAAAAACCCTAACCCGAGTGAGGTTTCGTAGCCACCGTCGGGCGGTATGTGCCATTGATGATGGAGAGGTCAATCAGCTGCTTACGCTTCAGCTCATCTTTGCCCTCCGGCTAAACAAGACGATAAGATATCGCAGAACTATCTACCGGAGGGTTCAGAAGAACGTTGACCTTGTCGATCGCGTACTCCAGCTTCTTCCTGCACACATCTTCGTAGTCCTCACATTGGACAATCACGTTCAGCGGTTCCTGGAAAAATTCATGGCATAAAAAAGTAAAGATACCGTGCTCTGACCACGTCCGCGGACCATAATTTTGCATCCAGTTTCTTGCTCGAGCTGCCTGGCAGTCATTCCGCGAGGGCCGAGGATGCGGCCGACAAAGTTATACTTGGGGTACTTGTCGACGGGCACGATCAACTTCTCCTGGAGCATGATGCGCTTCGGCAGTTTTTCGGTGCGGCTGCTCTCCGTGGTCATGCTTCCCAGAAAGCGGTTGATCTCTGAAACAAAATACGGTAAATAAGATTCATAAATAACGATCCGCAAAATTACGCCACAATTTACTTACCGGCCTCGATGAGACGCGGCAGATGCTTGAAGGGCTGTTCCGGTTTGCCGAGACGAGCACGTTCGCCAAGCAGCTCGGTGACGTACTCAGAGTGTTGGGTGAGCATGGAAGTGTCGTCCTCGGTGGCGGTGTTCTTGTGGCCCGAGGGCTCCTCCGTCTCAGAGTGGCTGCTGCTCATCGACTCCACCGAATGCTGATCGCCTCGCCCGTCCATCGGCTTCAGGTACCGAGCAGCCATCGCAATAGTCGCTGAAAAAGGAAGTTTTTGCAAATGAAAACAGACAAAATCTGGCATATCGAACGGAAAAGCGATAGAACGAAACGGAAATAACATTTTTTGACACGAAAAATCAAAATGCTTGATGTAACCAGTGACTTTTTCGAAGTCGATGTTCTCGCCGCCGTTACGGTACCATCCGCGTTTTAGGAAACAAAGTAGAGCAATTCCGAGACCCACCACCCCCCGTCTTCCGTCAGCAGTTCACTCCGGAACGAGCTTTTCCCCCAATTTCGCTATTTTGGCTTTGAGAAGACCAAACTCCAAGCTTTTGAAGCCCGGTAAGCCTAAAAAGGTACATAAAAACGTGTTGGGTTAAACGTGGTGATTTAAACTAAAGGCCTTTTAAGCATTAGGGATGTCTATGCGTCAAATTACGACTTTGTTGTATTTTTCGACATCCTTTTTATGCGACGAAACCATTAGGGGCGCGCAAGGCAGCCCGATTGGAGTTTGCGGATCTGTTTTTTCCTACGGGCACTATGGGGATTTAATTTTTCCTGTGCCCCGTACGCCGAGCAATGACATAGAGAATATGTTAATAAAATTGCTCGGTTCTTTTAGATATGGAAAGCATTAATTTCATAGCATTTTACCTTTTTTTTTTTTAATCTAAAAAGTCATAAAAAACATAAATTGTGGAATTTTTCGTCGAAAATTGAAGAAAAATGGTTAAAAATGACAAAACTATCACTATCAACCAAGGCTTTTAGGGTGAATAAAAGTTGTTCTCCCTCCGCTAACGAACCAGACCCTATTTTGCTTTTATATCCCCGTGTCTATTACATTTTCAGATTTCCAAATAGATTTTTTAGATATAACAAAATTATTACATTTGCGAAAAAGGTATAAAAATTGATCAACAATGTAAAAACTAACAACTTTTTTTGCCCTAATTCCCCTCGATTTATTAGATTTTCAGACATATTTTTTCCGATACCCACAAACTGTTATCTCGACGATGGTTGTCCACCTCCCTGGAATGCATGCAGAGACGTTTTGTGGTGGTGATGGGCCGACCTTCGCCTCCTCCCCCCCTGGGGTGTCCCATTTCAGGGGCGAGAAACGTGTGAAAATGGGCGCCCTTCTTCTTCAAAATTCCGTCACGAATTCAGCGGCACACTCACACAACTGGCTCCAGTCGCTTCTCAACCGGTTCTGCCAATTCTAGTTGGTTTGGGCGCAATGGCGGTGGTTGAACCGGTCGAACGGTTTTAGCTTTTTTTATCTAAGTTTTTGAAGTTGGGCGGTTAACGTGTTAGGTTTTTAGTTTTTTTTAGTTGTTGTTCTTAGGCTCTACTTTTGCTAATGTGGATAAAATAAACGTTGATATACGAATTTTTCCTATTTCTGAAAGTAAATGCTTTAGAAATTTGCAGTGAAAGCTCTAAAATTCGATTTTTCGAGAAGATTATGAGTTTTCAAGCGCTTTTATTATTATTTTTCTTTAGATGGCCTTATTCCTTATTATAAAATATAGCTAAAGTTGGTTAAAAGTTTATGAAATACTTGTAATTTCATTACTAAGCATACGGGACCTACAAGACACAAAAAAAATAGGTTCTCCCTGTTCGAAATACTCAATAAACATGTGTTTTAACTTTTGCAAAACCTTTATTGGGACGCTGATCCTTAAATCTAGCCCACCGTTGCTGACAAGATTGTTCTATAGTTTTTATATATTTTTCTAGCCGTCGCCCGCCCTCGCCAAAATAATTGGCTTCACTTTTCTTCCACCACCAAGCCCAAAAACGGAATTTTGACACACGTGGTACCATCAAAATGACCCCGTAGCGGCAAATGGCAAACAATCGGCTTTTTCTGGGCCCGACATCCGTGACTTTGCACCTTTTTGGGCCCTAACCCCGTTTGCATATTTCTTCGGGGGGAAACGCCTTGAAAGGGCCCTCCTGCTTTCCAATTCGCTCGTGCTGGGGCCCGATTCGCAGGATTTCTCCACGCGCTCCTTTTTTCGGCCTAGCAGCGTTTTTGGAAGTTCCTGCTAGAATTTTTGAGGTGTTTGAGTCGATTAATTTAGTCTACCGGCTCGTTTGTGGTCCTTTTAATAGTTCATCTACTGTCAACGGTCACTGTTTTAGACAATTTTATTTTCCTAGCCCGTTTTTTGTGCACTGCCACAAAATACAAGACGTTACCGAACATACCCGGGGCCATTTTTGTTACCCAAATGAATTTAGCAGTTGCGTTTATTTTAGTGACGCATCTCCAAACGAAGGAGATGTTTTTTAAATAATATTATGTTGTGGTGCTTACGCATTATCGGGGGGCTAGGAAAACAGCAGTTTCAGATTCCTCATAAATACAAAAATTTGGGTACTAGCTACCGGGCGGGGGGACCAATTACCTCAGGATCCCCCGACCTTCAAAGCATTTCTTACAGCATTTTGCAGAGTTTAGGTCTAAAAATCATTTAAGAATTATGCCAATGTTCAGAAATTTTGAATTTCTAGGCCGAAATATAAGCCCCGATAACATTCCAGCACCAAAATTGTCACATTTTCATACGTGCCACCCAAAAAACCAAGACTTCAAATACTTTAATAGTTTTGTAAAGTTTTTGTAGCTGAAAAGGGTTAATTTTTCATTTTAACTAATTTAACTAAACTATTTTAATTCCGTTTTTCCGTTTTACGAAAGCCCCTTTTAGCCAGTACGTGCCATTGCACCCGCGCACCTTGATGCAATTTGCCCATTCTCCCAAATCTTTGCAGCCCATCTAAGGGAAGGAGGACGTTGACGCGGCAGAAGGGAAAGCCTATTTTAGAATGCGTAAATAGCGGATGAATGCGTACTTCCCCCTCCCCGGCGATCGTTGTTGACCTTTTTTGTAATTAGGCCGCAATAGGCTTACCGGCTCGGGGCTATTTTCTGGTGGGCAACCAGGGATTTGGCTTGACCGGCCGGCTGGTGTTGATGTATTAGCGGGGGGGAGGCTAGTTTTCTGTTATTTACAACTATTTTGGTAGCATGTTAACTGCTATTTAGATAAGACTATAAGTATTATTAAAACCTTCGAAAAACGTTGATTTTATGATAATTTACATTAGGAATGATGTTATGAAGATGGGCTGGAAGACTAGAAATGGTAAAAAATGTCACAGTTTGGTACTGGACTCTTAACGCGGGGGATACATTGGTCAAAAAATCAAAATTTTTAAAAATTGGCGTAATTTTTGCATGTTTTTAGATCTAAAAACTGTAAAATTCCATAAAAACTGCTTTGTAGGTCGTAGCGCGCGACGGGATTACGCATGCAAAATTATTACCCCCCGCCCCCCGTTAACAGTACAGTGCCACAATGTTTGTATTTTGTGGTAATCGGAATCTATTAAACTTTTTCAATGTTTCGATAGGCGGTTGATGATGAGAAATAAATTTTTGAAACGCTTACGCCCTAGAATAGAATGGTTGCTATTTTGTTACTATCGAGATTAAGCTGATTAAAAGAAGATAAATCTCCCCCCGATAATGCACCAGAACCGGCTGGCTAGCCGCCGGGGGAACCCAATAATGTGCTAATTCCTTGGGGGATTAGATGGAAGCGGATTGGGTCTGGGCGATGCCATTCCTTCTGACCGCTGTCTTTGATAGGAAACCCTGACGCGGTGTAGGCCGTCTCTTTTTTATTTAGATTTTGAACTTTCGACAACGGTTTTCGGGTCATTTTGCGCCTGGGAGGCTTTGAGGGGCTTGATAAGACGAGGAACGCCGCTTGCTACGCCGGAAAAGTTTTGATTTTTCCTTTCACGTCAGGTTTTAATCGATTTTATAAGTTTAGTTTAGGTTTTTCGCGCGTAAAAAAGGGTTTCTTGAGGTTTTTAAAAGTTTTTGATTGTTAGGAACTTTTCAAAAGTTGGAATACCTTTAAAAATTAGACATTTAGCCTTTGTATTGCATTTTTTATACATTTTTGATCAAAAAGTTGCATTTTTCGAAAATTTTATAGGCTTTGAGAAGGTTTTTGCAATCTAAAACTGCCTAGAATGCTATAAAAATGCTTTTATAACATTTCGGGTTTCCTGGAGCATAATTGCCCCCCCCCCCCGCTAAAGGAGAAGCACCCGCATTAATAGTTAAATCAGGTTTTTGACGATTTTAATGACTTTTTATAACTTTTCTACTGTATAAAATGGATAAAGAGACGTAAAACCGTATTAAAATGGTTTGTATTTTACTATTGGGTGTCTACGGTAAGCCAAGGAAAAAGCTAGATCACTCGGCTAACCCCCCGCTAACGAATTAGTACCATTTTTAAAACTTTTTTTGTAACTTTTATAGAGCCAAATACAGTCTTCGATGGTTTTAGCAGCTTTTTGTAACTTTTCTAATATCCCCCCCCCCGCTAATGGTTCAGTACCAATTCAGGTTGAGTGGCGCGGGCTCAATCTCCACTTGATGCAATTTTTTTTTCGAAATCCATGGCCATTTGTGACGTGAAAATGACGAAAAATCAGCCGAAAACTCTTGAAAACGACGTCATTTCCCCGGGTAGCTTTTCGGTCGCGCTTTTTTGCGGTGATAATTGTGACATATGGGGGGTAGAAAGAGAGCGTTGTCTTCATACTTTCACAAGTCTCCATTCCAACTTGCACAAGTGTCAGGTGTCCCGCAACGGGCGGGTCTACTGGCCTCTTCGACCCCTCAAAAGTCGTCATCACCCTCCCCCATCCTCCATGCATCGCCAAGGAGCATCAGCTTTTTGGCAGTCTGCTTCTCGTAGCGACGGTTCTTTATTTTTAGCGGGGGAGGGGGGTATATTCCATAAATCTAGCTAAATTTTCTTTGAATGCTAAAAAACCTTTTCGGAACATTTTAAAGGTGGACGTATAGGTAGTAAGTAAGTAGAGTATATTTTATTCGGGGCTTTAAAAATGGATATA